GGCCCCCTCAGGAAGCTCTCAGGAGAACTGGCTACACAGGATTTGGAGAAGGCTGAGGTTCTGAATGACTTCTTTGCCTCGGTCTTCACTGGCAAAGGCTCTGACCAAACCACCCAAGTCTTGGAAGGCAGATGCAGGGACTGTGAGAATGAAGACCTTGTGGCCACTGTAGAAGAGGAACTGGTTCGAGACCATCTTAAAAATCTGAATGTGCACAAGTCCATGGGTCCTGATGAGATCCATCCGAGGGTCCTGAAGGAGCTGGCAAATGAAGTTGAGAAGACACTGGCCATCATATTTGAGAAATCATGTCAGTCAGGTGAAGTTCCTGATGACTGGAAAAAGGGAAATATAACCCCCATTTTCAAGAAGGGGAAAATGGATGACCCGGGGAATTACAGACCAGTCAGTCTCACCTCTGTGCCTGGCAAAATCTTGGAGCAGATTCTCCTGGAAGGCATGCTAAGGCACAGGAAAAACAACAAGGTGCTTGGTGACAGCCAGCATGGCTTCACTAAGGGGAAATCCTGCCTGACCAATTTGGTGGCCTTCTATGATGGGGCTACAGAACTGATGGACAGGGGTAGAGCAGTTGATGTCATCTGCCTGGACTTGTGTAAAGCGTTTGACACTGTCCACACAACATCCTTGTCTCTAAATTGGAGAGACATCAATTTGATGGAAGGACCACTCGGTGGATAAAGAACTGGCTGGATGGCCATATGCAAAGAGTTGTGGTCAATGGCTCAATGTCCAGCCGGAGACCAGTAACGAGTGGTGTCCCTCAGGGATCAGTGTTGGGACCGGTCTTGTTCAACATCTTTGTCGCTGACATGGACAGTGGGATTGAGTGCGCCCTCAGGGAGTTTACTGATGACACCAAGCTGTATGGTTCAGTTGATACCCTGGAGGGAAGGAATGCCATCCAGAGGGACCTTGACACACTTGTGAGATGGGCTGATGCCAACCTCATAAAGTTTAACCATGCCAAGTGCAAGGTCCTACACCTGGGTCAGAGCAATCCCAGGCACAGCTACAGGTTGGGCAGAGAAGGACTTGGGAGTGTTGGTCAATGAGAAAACGAACATGAGCCGGCAGTGTGCACTTGCCGCCCAGAAAGCCAACCATATCCTGGGCTGCATCAAAAGCAGCATGACCAGCAGGTCGAAGGAGGTGATCTTGCCCCTCTAATCTGCTCTGGTGAGACCTCACTTGGAGTATTGTGTGCAGTTCTGGTGTCCTCAATATAAGAAGGACATGGAACTGTTGGAACAAGTCCAGAGGAGGGCCACGAGGATGATCAGGGGACTGGAGCACCTCCTGTATGAAGACAGGCTGAGGAAGTTGGGGCTGTTCAGCCTGGAGAAGAGAAGGCTGCATGGAGACCTCATAGCAGCCTTCCAGTATCTGAAGGGGGCCTATAGGGATGCTGGAGAGGGACTCTTCATTAGAGACTGCAGTGATAGGACAAGGGGTAACAGGTTAAAACTTAAACGGGAAGTTTAGATTGGATATAAGAAGGAAATTCTTCCCTGTTAGGGTGGTGAGGCGCTGGAATGGGTTGCCCAGGGAGGTTGTGAATGCTCCATCCCTGGCAGCGTTCAAGACCAGGTTGGACGAGGCCTTGGGTGATACGGTTTAGTGTAAGGTGTCCCTGCCCACGGCAGGGGGGTTGGAACTAGAGGATCTTAAGGTCCTTTCCAACCCTAATTATTCTATGATTCTATAAGGTGACAAAACCAGAAAAAAAAAAACAAGATGCCTATTCCAACAGTTTATAAGTTCAATGCCAAAAATTATTAATATGCGCTGTTTCCATACCTTTAGTGCTGTAAAAAGCAGCACTACTTCATTATTTCTGTGCCAAGAGTGTTCTTCTTTTTTGTGTTTATTCAGTCACACTGTTACCTCTTCTTCCTCTTCATGATAATTCCTAATTTCCTGTCTTCTCCTTTAGTAGCTATTCTTTCATACCTCCAAAACTCCAGTCTCTCTGAAGTGATTTTTCTCCAAGAAACACCCAAGCCCCACATTCCACTACCCCTACCCCCTTCCCACCCCCTAGCTTCCAGTTTGACTGCCTTTCCCTGCTACAGTGCTATAACCCAGGAGTTGTTATCATATTAAATCTTAACCATTCTGTGATTCTATGTTGTTCATAACCTCTGCCGGGATATCAACTCTGCAGGTGGTTTCCTTCAGTAGAAAGAGGATTTTGTAACAACATGGGCAAAGACATCTGTCTTTAGTAATTTATTAGCCAGTGTTCACAGATTTCATTCAGTCCTCAACAATCCTGGAATAAAACCTATTTTGACACAAGGTTATATCATATCCCACCAAAAAATGTTGGAACAGCATCTATCTTAACAAATTCTTAGTTATTATCTATGGTTTTGCGGGGTTTATTTCAAAGAAGCATTATTAAAAGCCAAATATAATTTAACAAAAAAACAAAAAAACAAAACCCGAAACCAGTAAAAAAAACACTTCAGGAAGAAAATAGTTTATAAGTATGGCCATTGAGATCACTACAAAAGGCTCTACTGTGCAGCTGCAGAAAGGAGCCAACAAAGTGCCACTGACAGGGTGAACTGAGCTCACAAAGCAGTAGTTTAACTCTTCCCTTGGAAAGATAAGCTAATCTGGAGTCCAGACACATAATTCTTGAATATTTGCATTAAAACATTTGCCATTTTGTTGATGCTGTAGAAGTACTCTTTCACTGTGCCACACTCGAGGTGACACTGAACCTTTGTAGCTGTACTAGCCCAGAAAGGATAATTTTTAAAATTGGGTGACTCTTTCAAACACAAATGCCTTAGAGAAAGGGGACGGAAAAAACAATCCAAATCTGCCTGAAAGGGCTGGAGACCAAATTCAAATCCCCAGAACAGGAGGAAAAGAATGACAGTGCTTGCTCAGTCTTAGAGCCCAAGTGTGCTCACAGACGTCATCTAGATGCCTTGATAGGACAGTCTGAGTCGTCGATCTCTCCAGTATGCCATCTACTTCTTACAAAGTTACCTTCATCATTGTAAATTCAGCATAATAAGGCTGGTATACTCTGGAGCACAATGCATTAGCTTAAACTGAGCTAATGCATCTGAGAAGATGAGTACAAACTTGTATTAGCCTGATCAATCTGTAAATATGACAGACTCTGTAAGAAGTTAACTGAGACACGGGCCCATGTATGGGGGGGCAGGTGCCAGCGACAGAAAGGAAGCCTGGACAGAAAGAGGAGGCAAGTGGTAAGTTCTCCTCACAAATCCATCAGCGCATGCATAACAGCATCTAAATCCCAAGAGAACAGTGATACATGACTCCTCTCACAAGACAGAGATATAATCGTCCGTTTAGTTGCAGATGACAAAGTGGTAAACTACTTTCACAAGAGAATAAAACTTTATTTGAAGCTGTTGTTGGTGAGTAACACCAGTTACCAAAACCAGCCTAAACCAGCAAGTTTTCAGGAAGGATGAAGAAAATGAGGTGGGCACAATACACAGAGGTTTCTTTAGCCCTACGTCTGAAGTAAAGAGAACTTTTACGTAGATACTTTGGAAATCACATACCTGCTTTTGCTATCACATGTCAATTAAAAAAAAAAAAAAATTAAAGCTCTAGGAAACTGTAAGCTTACTTCTATGGAAAGTCTCTTGTGGAAATGGTGGTGTCAGCTGACACCCAGAGTTGAGGGTAGATGTGGACATCTAAAGCAATTGCACATGAGGTTTTGTTTGATCCAGCAGAGCCTATGCCCAAAAAGCCTGCTAAGGCAGAGAGCCAGCACCACTTCTACTTCAGTGAGGAGAGCCTTAAAGGCACAGTGTCCCATCTTGGTACCTTCTAAACGTCAGTTTCATAAGCAGTATCTATCTAAAGGTACTTTACTGGATGCATGTTTGGTTTCTTTCTTATTCTTGATTTGGTTGATGTAGTAGGGAAGCCTGGAATTTCCAAGAACAGAGCAACAGAGTATTTGGCTCATGGAAAGCAGAAAAGAATCAATTCCAGTCTTCAAGACATGTGGCTCCCAGACTGTGCCTCTACTCACAACAGTGCAATCATTCAGGTTCTATTCTTAAAACTGAAACCATGAGATTTCACTCCCTTTGGAAGAATGCCCAATTCCTGCTTATGTACACTGATGGCTTGGCACAGCTCAGGTTGATACGTCTTACATGAAGGTGTCTCCATGAAGTAAAGTTAGAAACAGGCGAGCTGGTCCTTGAACACAAAAGCCTTCCAACAGTCATTTTCCCCTTTCAGCATGCTAAAGAGGACTGAGAGAAAGTATCAAAGAAAGCATTCACCAGTGAAGAGCATGGAACACTTGCCAGTCTGCACTATTTAAACAAAAGAGACCAAACATAAAATGTGAGGAGTAAAGCTCTGACTTGAAACAGGGAGAGTCTCGTCTCAAGCTCTCTAAAATACCCAGTGATTTGGCTGCAAAATGTTTCAATTTTCATTAGAAGTCAGTACTGTGATGAAATCTTACTGTGTACTATATACTTTCCATATGTAGCTAACATCTGATGTAGGATCACACAAAAAACATGTCACAGGTCAGAAATTGCACTGCCTGCATCCTGAGGCAAACAAAGGAAAAAGAAATGTGAGAAAGAAAAAAAGTCCCCCAGTTTTCCTTCTCTCAGCATATTGACAGAAATTAATTTCTATAGGAAGGGAATTGCACTGTTTGCAAAGCAATCCTCTAGGATTTATTGATCTTTAAGAAAAATCTCATTAAGCAGAATAAGGAAAATTTACAACAGGTATGGGAAAACAAAACAATCTCTTGGGATCTTCACCAGGCCGAAACAGGATTAGCTTTGTAGTTTCTGTAATCTTCCTCACAGAAGAATGCTAATTCAGTCTCATTTGCTAGAACAAATAAAAAATAAATATTTAGCACAGCAGTAAATGAATCATCCAGCAGCCAGCTATTTAGAACCTTAGAAAACAACTAAAAAAATTGAATTTTTAGTCAAAGACAATTATAAATCACCACACACTTCACCCCCCTTATTTTTGCAAAAAAGATTCTAGTATTAAAGATGTCATTTAACGATGCTGCAAACCAAATAAAAAAGAAACAAACAAAGAAAAAAAAACACACAATAAACCCAAGAACCTGAATATATAGAAGTACACAAGCCTCGTCAAGATTTGTTTAACACAGCCTTCACAGAATTGTTTGTATAAGCATTCAACAAATTAAGTGACTGCATTTCTAACACCTTCAAATGCTAGAAAAATAATGAAGCGTGATTTTACCTTTCTTTTGTGCATTTTTCTGTTAGGAAAGGGAGAAGGAAACTATTTTTTCTATTAAATTAGCCTGTAGGTATAATAATTTAATACTTAGAGGATCAGTAGAATATTTTACAGATCACTTTACATTCTCCCTCATGACACATCAAAATATGTGTCTGAAGAAGTTAATTTTTTTCCCTGATGATGATTAATTCATGAGGCTTCAACAATATGCAAAGTGAAAGACACAAATTGGCTTCTCCAGCAATACCTTCAAATACCTCTAATTATTCACAGGGGATATGGTAGAGCTAAAGGACCCACAAAGGTTCAGAGCAGTCACAATTCTTTCAACCCAGTAGGTCAAGGACTTCCTCTTCTAAAACAATAAGTCAGCAACATTACTAATTCAGAACAGAGACAAATCTGATGGAAAGCCTTCACAATTATTAAACATGGAATTCTTTAAGGTGCTGAGCCAATAAGTTCCACATTTGTTTTTTAAATTAAACCTGAAGTTAATGAAGTCTGCCTGTCTTGTAAAAAAAGGAAAAAAAGAGCAGAAGGGGTTCAGAATCTCAACTAGAAAACAGACAAGACTGTTTGCAATGAATACTGAACACTTGATTAACATACACCCTGCTTTAAAAAAAAAAAATAAAAATCAGGCAAGCATTAACTTTGCTGGCTAGATAATAACTGTAATAATAATCACTACCACAGAGGCTTTCCCGAGGATACTTATCTAATGTCCTCATAATTTATAACTCTCTAGCCCAACCCTGTAAAGTGCCAAGGGCAATCAACTACAGCTTAGAAAAAAGTGTTCTCTGTGTCTCAGAATTTCCCAGGTTTTCTAACAGCAATTTTCTGCTTTAGTCTAGGAAATCTTGTCCAGACTAGATATTGGAAAAATGTAATATGTCAAGAGAAGATTTCAAATTTTCTTATTGATTTAAATGAAACTGTATAAAATGCAGACTAGAGTAGTATCTGCTATCAGTCGTCATTTCCTTGGTTCCACTCTTTTTCACTTCTTGTTGAAGAAAAGTAAAATCTTCAAGATTTTACTATAAAGAACCCAATCCTAACTTAGCTAATTCTTTTGTCAAGATACACTGGAAAAATACCAAATTCAAAATGGCAAAATGGCACACTGCATTTTACAGAATGAGAGGTTTTCTTTTGTGTTACAAATACCCACTATATACTAATGACTAACTGCTGCTAGTTATTCTGAAAACAGCTTTACATTGTTTTCTGCCCTGAATAAGCCACCGCTTTCTTTGTAGAGAGACACAGAACAAGCTGGTCTACTCTGATTTCCTTTCACTGTAACATTTACTCTGATGTTTTGACATGTTTTTGAAGATCACATCCAACTGTTTCACTGTTGTAGCTACAAACCTAGCTTCAAAGATGGATATATAGACATATATTTATCACTACCTTTTTAAAAGAAGGCAGCTGTAGACAATGTAATTTCTAATTCAACATTTAGTACTGTCATCAGTACTGAACTGCATTGCCTCTTATGCCTTCGGTAGATAAAAATCATGTTTAAATGAATCTTCTGCTAACTAAATTACAAATCTGTAAGACTTGAATGCCAATAATAGTCCTTCCTGAGGAACCTTTTTTATTCTCCCCTCCAGATAAAAAGACCTAGTTTAGTACAGCCAGAGAATAACTATCATTCATATCATAGGAACACCCAAAGACTTCAGGAAAGGTGTATTTAGGCCAGTTGCAGTGCTGCCCAGAATAAAACATTAGAGGGACATCCCAAGTCACTTAAAATCAGAAAGTAAATGGGAGAAAACAAAAGAGCCAAGAAACCTGAGAAAGAAATCCCATTCACTAGCTGGGGAGCAATCAGAGGGCATTGGGAGCAGGACGGAGCTCTCTCTGTGAAACCCCTGCACTTAGAGCACAGGCACTTATGTGTTCCAGCTAGGCAAATCAGATTCAAATGAGTGAATGTCCATATCGAGGTGGAATGGAACTACATCCCTTAAGTACCCTGCTGCCACAAAGTCATTCAGCCACATTTATTAGAAGCCCAAAGGACATCCAGGGACCATCAATTTTATCATGACAGACATGTCTTTACATTATTACCAAAAGACATGCCCTATATGTAGTCCCCTGTCAAAATGTGAGAAATCAGGTCAAGCTTTAAGTCTTTGCTATGTTCAGCACATTCTGTAAATGATACTGCTTGAGTTTTCCTGAGCATTCTGGCTATCAGGCACTGTATGCTTCACATTAAACAAATCTAATCTTATTTCATTATTCCATGCTGGTTCCATTACTTACATTTCTAACCAAAACATCAGCTTAAATGTTACTGATAAGACTAAGCAGACATGGTACTAATAACCTATCTGTCAATCATTTAAAATTACTCTCAGCAGAATTATAAGCGTACCCTCTAAAAATCACAATTTGCATTCTGAACATTTGGAGTGCAGATACCTGCTGCCCTCAGTCCAATGATCTGAATGCACATTATCCCCCCTTCTTCCCTGAATAATTATCAAGTAGTGTAAAGAGCATCAGGAATAGCATTTACTTTTCAGCAGGCTATCCAAACATAATCAGCCAGTTATCAGTTTAATGACAACCACAATGAACAGCACCTTCAGTCAATACAAATGCACTCCTACCTATTCCAGCTGCTTTCAGCGTACTGTCTTCTTTCAAAATCAGTTTGTCATCATCTTCCAAACTCACTACAAGTTCACCAGTCTACAAATCAGAGAACCAGAATACAAAGATAAGAATTTGCTGACTGTCTCTGCCCAGTCTTGTTTGACAGTGCAGAGATCTGCCTGCATTAAAGCATGTAAAAGGGGAAGAACACAGCTAATAATCATACCTTAGACTTGTGTGCTTGGTGAATAATCTTCATTGTATCTGAAAGAAAATACATTTTCCTAAAATAAGGCTTAATAGGCAGGAAATACTGAAAGTTGTACTTGGGGAAAAAGAGACAAAAGGATAAGGTTTGAAATCTTTTATTACTAACAATTTTGTGTATTAAACCTAAAAGAAAACATCTTAATTTCCCAGTGCTGCAGCCACAGTCTTAAACCAGTCAATCCAACATTACACTACCACGTCCTATTGGGTTTCTTTCTGCTGGGTGAATTACAACTAACTAATGACCACCCTAATTGCCAGTCAAAACACACCAATTTAAATGCCAGTTAGGGTGTTTTAACCTAACAGGTTTTACACATGCAACTGGGGCAGGACAAACCACATTTATGCACTGTCAACTACTACAGTTAATTTGATAAGCAGCAAGCGATTAACCTAACCACTTCAGACCTTTCCTTGAAATTTTCCTCCTCATGAAGAAAGCACCCATGGTAGAAATTTTGTTAAGCAAGTCCATTTTCCATGACCATGTACAGCCTCTCCTTAATGCTATACCCTCTTTAATAATATTTACCTCTGATATGTTTGTGCAGTGTGGCACTTTAAGAAATTATGCTATACAAAAAAAAAAAAGAAATATTGCTTTCTTCTGGCCGTGTGGGCAGGGCTTTGTTAACAGAAGGGAAAAACAGGGGAAAATAATGTGGTCACTAAAGCAACCAGCTGAGTGCAAAAATCCAGAGGAAATGGAAGCCAGAAGATGCCCATGTAGTGCTAAACAAAAAAACCCAAGCAAACAAGAACAACTCCAGACAGATTCCAAAGCATCCGTTTGAACAAATTCAGAGTAACACATCAACCCCTTCCCAGCAATGAAGCAAAAACCTGTTCTGCTTGCCTGTGCATTTGCTGTTCTAGTTTGTTAGCTCTGTTTCTAGTTTTTGTTCATTAAGTGAACACTATGTGTTGAAATACTCTGTTAAGAAAAGGATTTAAGAAAGTTAAATATAGGCTTAAACAAATTTCAAACTATCGAGAGCTAGTGTTCAGATGTTCAGAACAACAGAGATCACATTCCCAATTCAGAACTTTGCTTCCATACCACTCCAGCCCATTTTTAGTATTCTATTTAAAACATTAAACAAGGTAAAGATGACTCTGTATTCCCACTGCAGAGGTCACTGAGAAGGCAGGCTTAGCATAGAATCATAGAATAATTAGGGTTGGAAAGGACCTTAAGATCATCAAGTTCCAATGCCCCTGCCATGGGCAGGGACACCTCACACTAAACCATGTCACCCAAGGCTTTGTCCAACCTGGCATAATAATTGCAGTATTAGAAGCAAGACATACATTAAATAGCAGTTATCAGAATCCATGTTGCATAGAAGCACTGCAAAAATACCAAGCAATCACAGAAACAAAATACTGCAATCATGAAACCCTTCTACCACAGTAAATACAATCCAGCCTTTGCCCGTTAGTTTTAAGCTTCTTCACTTACTTTGTCACATTCCCTTTAATCTTTGCCCAGTCATTCTCTGAACTATTTTCTCAATTTTACTTGTTCACAAATGCAGCAGTTTACCATGCCTTCATCTGAGCTACTAAATGGCTTTTGTAACTGTTACAGAGATGAAGCTGCAGTCTCTTCTCATCCTAGCTAAAGCCATGTCCTCCAAACAGCCTTTGCTATTTCATCCCCATTTAGTTCCATTCAGTCATATTCCCAAATTTTTATCATTCCTTTTCTCGTAATAGACCTTCCATGACAACTGATTAAGAAATAGTTCACAGAATCAGATTTAGAAAGCTATCTATCATATTGATCCACATTCACAGAAGGAAAAAAAAAAAAAAAGAGAAGCAGCCTATAAGACAAGTTGACACCCAGGCTGCCACCATCAGGGAAAAGATGGCAATGACAGGGTAGGAAGATGAGAAGATAGACTAAGAAGAGTTTGACCAAGGACAAGAACGATGTGTGTAAAGAAATTAAGAGAAATGTAAGTCATAAGCTTTGAGATGTAAGTTAGAGCACCAAATGAGGAGGAAAAATGCAATGGTATTTGTCCTGGGTTCAGCAGTAGCAGTCATTTTTCCCCTTCTTGGTAGCTGGTGCAGTGCAGTGTTTTGACTTTCAGCTCGGGAACAGAGCTGATAACAAGGATGTTTTGGTTTGGCCAAGGACTTTGTGAGCCTCATGCTCTGCCAGGGAGGAGGGGGAGCCAGGAGGAAGCAGAGACAGGACACCTGACCCAAACTGACCAAAGAGGTATTCCATACCACAGCACGTCATGCCCAGGATGTAACTGGGAGTTAGCCAGAAGGGCTGGGAGACTGCAGGGTTGGAGGAGGTATCGGTCAGAGCTTGGTCGGGCTGGGGGGGGCGAGTTATCGGTCGGCTGGTGGTGAGATGATGTATTCTCTTCCCTTGTTATTTCCTGTATCATTATTATCATTGGTGGTAGCAGTAGTGATCTGTGTTATACCTTAGTTACTAAACTGTTCTTATCTCAACCCGTGGGAGTTGCATTCTTTTCGATTTTCCTCTCCGTCCCTCCGAGAGCAGGGGGAGGGCAAGAAAAGGGGGGGGAAGTGAGTGAACGAGTTGCCTGACTGGGTTTAAACCACGACAGTATTACACATGATGCTGAATTCTGGAGAGAAGGAAGCTTAAACAGATAAAGTGAGACATAGCCAGGTCCAACTGAGATTTCTGCCACTGCCAAAGTGGAAAGAAAAATCTGACTCTCACTAGCACAATTCATGCAGAAGTCTCACTGCCCTTTCATCACCAAAACACAAGATGGACTGTAGACAACAAAAGAGATGGCAAAGACATGAACCTGGATGATGCACAGACTGAAGGAAAGGTGAGGAATTTGGCTGTGATTTTTCCCATGTGTAAATCTCCACACAGCTAGCACTGTCACAGTAAAAGTAGGCCTGCACTAACTGGTGTAACAGGTTTTAAAGTTCTGCAGTGTTTTTCACACACATTAGTCCTACACCTGCAATCAGGTGGTAAGCCACAACATATGCCTTGGGAAAAACTAAACAGATGCTCTAAGTGATGAAAGAACTGATACAACTGATAGTTGCAGTTCTTAGATAGGACGCCCTCATTTAGCCAAAGCCACAGATACTAGAGGGAGGAAGGGTACCTCCAAGTTCAAACTTACAGTTACCTAGATTTATATTTTAATAACTTAATATATTAAAAATAATAGTAACGTTCAAATCCTTGCCACTGATATATTATGGATCTTCTAACTCTTTATCTGCCTTCATTTTGCACTGTTTCATCATCAGCAAGAACACAGAATGAAATGCTTGGCTTTTCTTGATTTTGCTTTTTTTTTTTTTTAAAGGCAAATAGAGTCTATTACCATTCACATGTATTAAGTAGGTTCCTCATTCAATTCTTTGAATCACTGTAGAGGAATGAGTTTGTCAACTCCAAGAACATGGAAGATGAAGGATCACTTGCAGCAAAACTCCAAGGGAATTTTTAGAATTGCCAAGTTTAGGAAAAGATAAGTTACTGACATCCAAATTAACAAACTCCCAGAAAGGCAGTAATTTAATCTATTTTGAAAGTATATTCTGTCCCAAACAGATGAATTGCTTATGTTCATGCCAGTCTTCACAGACAGCAAATATACACACAGCTTTATATTAGAGGATAATGACAGCCTAAATTTCACACCAAGCTATTTCATTCCATCAGCTTGTACTTGTATTTGTATTTAAAAAGCTTTCATATCTACCCTGAGCACAGTTCCCCTGCTTCTCCTAAATTGTGTAAACTATTTAAGTATACAAGTCCTAAGCATTTTCTATTTACTGTCTTCAGTTCCTGCTTCACTATCCTTTCTGACTTCACAATTAGTAGAGACTGAAATATGTAAGCACATGAAGGACTACAATTTCAAAGCACCCGAGATCACAAGTTGCTTGCTAGAGTAAAAACAGAGTTAAAAGGCACTTATACATGTAATTTAAAAGTAATACCAATACCCATTGGTATCAATTAGCAAATAATATATAACATGTAGCCTAATTAAAAGATTAATATAGAACTTCAAAATAATGGTGAAGTTTTGTAGACATGATCCCAGTGGCATACTCCCAGCTACAAGAGCTGGACAGAGTTGCAAACATAGGCAGGCACTACCACTGACATGAGTATTCTACAGCAGTTATCCTTTAAATTCTATAAAAAATGGTATAAAATGTTACATCTGCATTTTACAGAAATTAAAACAAAGAGGGAGAGAAACAACACCTACCATACTTGTAATTTTTAAAAGGAGGAGGAAGACCTGTTCTTGAAGACACATCTGTTAAAATAAAAACACAAAGTTAATACAAAGATGTCTTTTTTTATTTCCAACATTTTATTTTCCATTATTGTGCAATGTATGCATCCTGGACATCTTTTACATCAAAATAAATCTGCAATACATAAGACTTGTTTGAGAATCAAATACTAAAACAAAACTTTTGGCTCAGATTCTATAGTAACTCCATATCTGATTAACTTCACTTAAACACAAAGTCCCTCTAAACAAAACAGCCCATGAGGACAGTGAGTCGATGCAATTAGGACATCATCACAGGAGTCTAATCCTTCAGAAATCTGCCAGGAACATCCTGTTAATGGTTTGCACAGCATCTCTCTTTACCTTATAGGAACTGCTGACAACTGTCATTCATAACTTAATTGTTCAGTAAACACAGCCATTTGAAACAGCTAGGAAAAGAAAGCCAAACTGTAGAAAATTAACCCTCTAGCCACATGCAGGACACAGACCATAAGCAACTGTGAGAACACCAACTTCTTTCCCAGTGCCACGGTTCCCAGCGACACCCAGGGATTCAACCAGGGCCTTGGAAGGTCTAGCCAGCCATGGGGTGCTTGGCAACAAGGTGGCTGAAACTGTAATTACACCAGTAGTTTAACAATTTATCTCAAACTCTCCCTTCAAAACAGATTATAGTAAAGGAAAGAACATATCTTTTGGAACAGGAACAGCATTATCCATCTGTGGAATGAGGTTCCAAAAAGTCTTGTTCAAGACACCAGCTTTGTCTCAAATAACAGTGAATTGCAGTTCTGCACACATCAAAAGCAAGTTTCTTAGCATTGTTTTTTATTTTCTTATTCATAACAACAGCGGTACCATATGTTCTGGAAATGTTTCTAAAAGCATCCTAGGATCTTGCCATGCCTATCCCTGTCTAGAAGTACAGAAGCGGCTAAAAACACAATACAGACATGGAGCCCAAGACAATGTCCTAGGAGTTGCTCGGATGTTATCAGCTATAATAATTCAAGACTTGTTTAATCTGACTTCATGCAAAAAATCCAATTATGTTATTTTGCACCTTTTGAATGTCTCCATTTAGGTGGGTAGAAATACACCTGCAAGACTAGGGCAACACCCTACCTACTGAATCACTACATGGGCTAGTCTACATTAATCTTTAGATACACTCTCACATTCAACAAGGCTTCTAAAACATAAAGCCCACTAATGAGTAAATCTACACCACAAAGCCCAAGACAGAAACAGAAACTTAGAAGCAAACATGCGTAGTGAGACTTCACGGTGTCAAAAACAACTTTTCAAGATCCTATCTTCTCACAAATAGCAAACAGACTTGCATTCCCACATTCCACATATTGGTGTACTTCCTATGGATCAAGACTCTCTATTAATTTACTCCTGTTAATTTATGAATAGCTGCTTGACAGCATTACTCAAGGAGCCTGAGGCACTGAGCCGAATGCAGCAATGTCCTCCTCTCTTTCTGACTAAGCGTGGGGATTTGGGCAGGAAGAGCAGTCTATCCAAATTTAGGCATGGCACACTGACCATGGAAGCTGTTATTAACTCCAGACTTCTCATCCAAGAGAAGAAAGCACACAAATCTGGCATCTCTACTAATGCTGCAGAATTCCCATTCATTTGCTCCCCTCCACTTTCTTGTGCAGAGACAGCAACACATAGGACTGAAACGAACTGCCTTGGGACTGAACTGCCCCTTACCATTCCGCACAAAACTAATGAACTGCTTTACTGTCTGATCCAAGTTGACTCCATGATACACCACAGGTCTGAAATTCCGGTGTTCAAAAGAACGAACAAGACGAACTGTGATGGTTGAGCTTTCTGCTGACATGAGAATTAATTCTGAATAACCTGGAAAACATCAAAGAGAGGAATTATTGACCTTCCTCTGTGTATGACCACAGCTAGAAAACAAGGTGCAGGTGGGCCTCATGCAAAGATTAAAACATGGCAAGAAATTCAATAGCTTTATGCCTTTCAGGACATCACTTCTATTATTTCTACAGAAGCAGTAACAGGCTCTCAAAACAAACAGGGTTACCTAGGATATTACTGATACTGCACACCAAATAGCCCTGTATTTGTAGCTGTGCTGTGTAATATAGCACCAGACTTCCGATTAAACACACAAAAACCTTACAGTTAAATGCAAGTATGTAGTTCGGTGTTTAAGTGACTGAAGACTCTGCTGGGCAAGTAACTTTGTGCTATAAAAGAATGTACTAACATGAACAGAACCAAAACCTTTTTAATATACTTATGTTGTAGAGAACATAATACCTTGAAAAATGCCTAAGCTCTTACACAATGCTCATTTTAATTTCCCTACAGGAAGTGGAAAAGCCTCCCCCATGTACACATGCAAATAACTCTCATATACTACTACATAGTTAAGGGATTTCATTTCATTTATAATAGTAGTTCTCTAGAATGGCTCTACAGGGCTTACACTACTTCAACAAAGCACAGAATCTGTAACAGAATCCCCTTATCAACCCAAACCCCTCTTCAAACAAGCCAATGTGTGGCTCCGTTGGGCTCTCTCTCTCTGCAGGAAAACAAGCTGTTTCTCATCTCTACAATCTTTTCTATTTTTGGTGCTTGGTATCCCTTAACAACCTCACTTTCTGGTCACAAGCTAAACTGCCAGGGCCGCTGCAGCAACTAGCAAGGACTGCAGACTTAAGTGCTGCAATATCAGCCAGGGGTACAGCACAACCTCTGCATCGCTTATCCCTTAGCAGCCACTTCAGTCACCATTTCCAGTCCTGCAAGGGATTCTCTTACCTATCGATCCCTCTATGTTCTTTTTGTGTGTGTCTTTCTCTCCTCACCCCACCCTTGTTGTGCGAGGGGAGATTATTTAAGCTCCACACCATCATACAGATATCCAAGTACCTTCCAGTCTGTGCTGTATTTATCCTAGCTGTATCATGACAAAGCAAACCGGCAATACTTTCTTTAAATACTTTCTGCACTGTGGGGACACAGACCTTCTACATCACAGGGCAACTTGCTTTTACATCCCCTTGGTTAATAATTCCCCAAGGTCCAACTCCATTTTCATTGTAAATAAACTGTGATAAATAAATGACACCAATAAAGAGAAGATGGCTTACACCTGAAAATAACTAGATTAATATTAAACACCAAAGATCGGTATTTTCTTGATGCTATTCTACAAGGGCGTGAGATGTATCAGCGTAAAGGGGACAGCATGCAATTCACTTTCTCCTGAACAGCATTCAAGATCGTTGCAGGAATACAGATTTGGGAGCACAGACAACTGGAAATCGCTGATTATCACATTTACTGTACAGACCCCACAGATAGATCCGATTTAGGGCTGCGACGAAGCACTAGCCTGCGCCTCCCCAGGGCAGACCCTCCTTGGGACACCGACGGCCGATACCTCTTGAGAAGAGACACCTCCCCCGGCCTGCCCCGCTCCTGCCCTCCGTTAGCGGCACCAGGACCGCGGCGGAACCCTGTTCACACCAGCACACCTACTCAAGGCCAAGCACCGGGCCCTCGGCCCTCACAACAAAAGATCCCGCCCGAAACTCTCGCCAGCATCCCGCAGCCTTACTACCGACTTCTCGCCAGCACTTCCGGGTCCCTTTTCTCACCCCACTTCATACAGTCCCACCAATCACATCCTTACAGAACCACCCACCGCGCAGCGGGATTGGCTGCTAGGCACCCCGCCCCCGCCCCCGCCCCCGCCCCCGCCCCCGTCCCCGTCCCCGTCCCCGTCCCCGTCCCCGCCCCCGTCCCCGCCGCAGAACTGCAGTGATCCTCTCCCTCCCTCCAAAGCCCAGCCTTTGAGCAGCACCTCGGTCCACCACCCGCGCCGCCTCTGCATTGGCCCTTTGCCTGCCTTCTCCCCGCCTCCGCCGAGCTTCGATTGGCTCCTTACTTGCCGTGGCGCTAGGATTGGCCAGCGGGCGCTCTGGCGAGGGGTGAGGCGGCCGAGCGGCAGGGGTGGAGCGCCTGGACGGGGCGGGGTGTCGGGCGTGTGGTGGACTTGTCGCTATGTCTGAGGTACGGTGCTGGGTCGGTGGGGAATGAGGGGCTGTGGTGGGTGCCTCCTTTCCCCCTAAGTGTGGTGGCAGCTGCAGCCTGCGGGTGCTCACCCTAGCCTCTCCCGGGGGCCTTTTCCCTCTCCAGGCTGCGTTTCAGAAGGCTGCCGAGGAGGTGAAGCAGCTCAAGTCCCAGCCCACGGACCAGGAGATGCTCGACGTCTACAGCCTCTATAAACAGGCTACGGTGGGCGACGTGAACACGGGTAGGTACCGGTTCTGTCCCCTACCGGGCAGGGTAATGGTGGCGGCGGTTGGGCAGCGCTGCTCCGCGACCCTTTTGGGCTCTGCGCCTGTGCTTGGGGCCCTGGCTGGCGGGGGAGAGGCCGCTGCAGTCGGGGCCGAGCTGGAGGCACTCTGGGAGGCAAAACCTCTCCCCTGTTGCGTGTCTCGCTTCCTGCAGTCCTACGGGTTAGCCAAAATGACTCCGTACCGACTTGGCATAGATTTATATGCAGGCAGGCATAAGTTGACCCGATAAGGGTTTGTGCAACTTGTGGATTTTAGATTAACCCAGCTGCGGTCTTCTAAATCGTACAGCAACAGTCTGAGAATCGTTTCTGTTATTAGTTTTGTATGAATATTAGGTTTGGGACTTCAGGAGTCCTCTATCATCAAGTAGCTGCCTAGGTTAAGGAATGCTCCCTGAATACAAACTGTTAGCAGTTAAACAGGCGTAAACAGCGAAGCAAACTATGTAAGTGCAGAACTGCTGTATGGGTTGGAGGGGGGCAGTTTGTTTAAACTGGATTGGCTGCTAAAAATAGTATTGGAAAGCCAAAACAGAAGGACCGGAGAAAGTTTTTATAGTAGCTGCAATTAAATATCATCTCTTGGAAAAATTGTAGCAGAAATATCCCTGCAGGTGTCTGTACAAAATTTCTCCTGCTACTTCTGTTACTACACTTCTGCCAGCAGCAGCTCAGCCTAGGAATAGTATTTAGAATAAAGTCTGTCTCTATTGACCTTGTGTAACGCTTGAGTGACTTGAATTAGAAAGGGGAAAAGGTCATTTGTTTGGAGTGCTGGCCTCCTGACCCAGTTGCTGGTGAAATTTATTGTGTGTTGCTTGGATTAAAAGCTGGCAATGAAGTGTATGGGACCTTGCAGTCTCTTTCCCAAGATGGGCAACATGGACCTTGGTTTTAAGATATGATCCTTTTGGTGTGGCTGGACCTTGGCATTATTAATGTTTTTCAAGGTGAAATGGTGCTCTGGAGCTGTTAATATACCAACGTTTCTATAATTTGCTGCATTCTTGTGTAGCAGTGGATAACATGAATTGCTGGAAAATCAGTCTGTGTAAGAGTAAGCTAATAGGCTTCCTGCTGCAGAGAAGCAAAGCTGCCAATTAGCTTCTCAGGTCATATTGCCAAGGGTATTTTTGTGGCTAATGTCCAGTTCCATTTGTTAAGCTTAAGAATTGTCTTTAAGGAATCACTCAGGAAGGGAGAACCGAGCAGGGACTTTACATGAAGGTAGTTAAAGTTCAAAGCTGGCACCCCTAAATGACAGAACAAAATAAGACCTATATGTTAGACCCATAACATTAGCTGGATGATAATGGGTTCTAAGCTGTATGCTACTAGCTTTTGTTTTCATGTATCTGTGTAAGAGACCTTAGGGCATTTCTGCTTTACTGTGGAGCTGATGTTCTTTAATTGGATAGCTGTCACACAATAGCAGTCTCTTCAGAAAGTAGAATAAAACCAAATCACACCACTGCTGCTGTTTTAAGGCAACTGGAGAATATCTCAGTTGCCACCAATAGCGTTACAACAAGCTCTCTTGAGGTGATCTCCTGACCACAGGTTAGTAAGTAATAGCTGCAAAGACCAATTGTTTTATTTTATCTTAGTTAAGAGCTAAATAGCCTTCAGGAAAGGAGTGGGTACTACACTACAGTAGTAGTATAGTACCTATTACAGTACCTACGCCCAGACCACACAAACTAATTCTTATCTATTGCTTCTCTTCTCTCTTTCAGACCGCCCTGGCATGCTGGACTTCAAAGGCAAAGCAAAGTGGGATGCCTGGAATGCATTAAAAGGTAAGTGTCTACTTAAAAAATGAAAAATAAGTAAATAAAGTCACAGGCAAACTAATCAGAAAAGGTGTATGTGGTTCAGCAAGAAATAAAATAGCATTGCCTTATAAGACAAGAGTTCTGGAACTTCAGAATGCTGTGGTAATAAACTCTTTTGACTACTTCTATGAAGCAGGAGTAATCCTGAAAAATGTAGCCTGTGTGAAAGGGAATTAAGGTGCAAAATGCCCAGCTGGCCCAAGATGTTACACAAAGGAGAACTGCCACAGCAGCAGAAAACCAAATTGTTTTCCAAGTCCCAGCCTAGTACCCCAGAGACCAAGCTATCCACCCAGTTGTTTCTTTTAAAGCTTTCCTAACAGGGGGTTGCAGCTGTGCTCTCCTGTAAATGAGGAGCCAAACAAGTGATCTTATGTATGAAAATGGGATTTTTCTGGTGTTTTAAGGACTACATCGAAATGCAGCCAAAGCTGACTGAATAGCTGTCCTGTAATAATTTTGAATGGAGTTAATAAGACTAAACACTGTTACTGTCTGTACAAATATAACTTTGCTTTGAAACTATTTCTTCATGACTGCTGAATACATTTGTTTAAAACTCTAATACTAGATTTGCAGTGAAGTGACCTTCTTGGCTCCTTTGTACTCTGGTAGCATGTGGTTACGTGCTGTAGCAAGGGGTTTGCATGTAAAGGTATCTGACTGCTCCTGTCTTTTGTCCTTCAGGAATGTCCAAAGAAGATGCAATGAAAGCTTACATAGCAAAAGTGGAAGAGCTAAAGGGCAAATATGGCATCTGAGGACTGGATATAGCAACAACTTGAACACCTGAAACATGCCTTATTTCTAATACTGTGGAAAAATGCTTTCTGAGAATGACAAATAATTTTAAATACCTAGTATATTGTAGTCGGTTACACTCATGCCTGTAGTTCAGGGGAAGTTATGTAACCACCTAATGTACTGACACGGTATAAATTCCTTCTGGGAACAAAATCTGGAACTCATTAAAGTGCATTTGGTACTTTAGCGGTTGTGATGGTCATCCCTCAATTGCCATGTTGCAGCTGCCGAAGGCCCTTTGCAAGGCGCAAGGCAGCCTCTCCAGTCGTTGTGCCACTAGAGGGGGCTCAGTAATCTGTTTCGTGTAACGCACAGCATCCAGACCAATCCGGTGATGCCTGATCCTGCTTTGGCTCGTTTCTCGCGTAGATGAGTGGTGACTCGCAAAACTTGGAGCACCACGAAGATTATCGTGAAAAGGCTAGGTCTAGTGCTGTGTGTACTAAAACAAGACGCTTGATATTGGTTGCCTGGGATTTTCAGAGATTCACTCAACAATTGCCAAAAAATCTTTCATAAATGCTTCTTAGAGGTATTATTTCCCAACAACATTAGGCTTCTGCAGAGAAGGCAAACACTGCAGCTGGACACAAAACCTTTGTAAAAGAAAAGGCTCTGCAGACAGCAGTGTCGATGCCCTTGATACTTTGCTGCTGTAGACAGAGAGTACTGGTGCTGCCATATAATGAGGCTACAGTGAGGAGCGAATCAGCTGTATATAAGCTGGTTTAACACTAGCAAGGCTGTTCAAACAGGAAGTCTTACAGTCGCCATCAGCAAGTTTTACTACAAAGCCTGCAGTTGTGACCACCTCTAGTAGGCGTTTACCTGTTTTGGTCTTCCTTGTATAGTCTCTTGGAGCTGCTGATGCAGAAAAGGGAGACTGCTTTTAGTGATGTTGAACTGTTCCAGAATAGAGCATATGAAAATCAAGTCCCAGATTTTCACAGGAATAATGTGTTCTAATTCCAGCTGTACTGGTTAACCTCTGAACAAGTGAGGGCTTCAGATAAGCACTTGATTTATAGAAATACATAGGGATGAAACCTGTTGTTACATATCTGTTTAGGTAAATACATAGTTCTGTCCTAGGTTACACAGGATTTGCTGTGTGTAGTATCTAACTTGTACTTTCTTATGCCACTGGTAAGAAATGGAGAGATAACTTCTCACATGCTTTCAAAATTATAAATCCATCCCTTTGCTACTTTTAATGGGAAATGCTCTTGGAGCTACTTGCTCATCCTTAAAAATTTGTTACAATAAAGAAGGGTTTGTTCCCTGTTCTCGTAAGGAGAAAGCTGGTTTATTCTTGTTCTTCTGGGTAAGGTAAGTATTTGGGGGATTTTTCCCCCTCTCCTTTTTTATATCTGCTAGTTATTTGAGATAGTGTTGATTACATTCACCTTGTAAAAGAGGGGTAAAAGCAGATGTTCAGTGTGAGAGATCAGTTTAGCTCTTTGCCAGCCCTAAATTCCACAGCCAACTCCTTTTTCACAGCTGTGTTTTGTGAAGCTGTTTATCCTTGGAGGATTCTGCCAGCCTGTAGCAAACTGTAGTTTATACTGGCAAATGCTTCCCCTTCTCTTGTTTGCTGGAAGCTGATGCACTGTGAGCATGCTGTGCTTTGCTAAGATGCTTTCTGTCAAAACTGGTGTTTTCAGAATTTTTGATTTCTAAAGCAGTGGAATTGGGTTCTGTTTAAAGAATGGTCTGGGAGTAACAAGTTCTGCATCCTAATCCTCATTTGGCTTTATTTCCCCTGTGAGACTTGTAATTGTTACAGTGCTATTTTCTCATATGCATCTGATGTGAGGAAAACATCACTATCTACACAGTACTAATCCTAGAGAGGCCTTGGCCAGGCTGTTATACATTGTCTTGTATTAAATAATGCTATTTTCATTTAATTATCACTGCTATAATATGTGTATAGCAGTGACTGAGAGGTCTACCTTGGATGTCCTTATTCAGGTACTTCTTTTTACTGTAGTAACACCTTTCTCCTGCTTGCAGCTTCACCTTTCCTAGGAAAGTAACAACAGTAGTTTCACTATTTAGCTTGCCCTTTGGCAATGAAATCTATCCTTTAGCTATCAGCTGGGCATCTCAAGAGTAAGCTGAAAAATTCAAGTTGTGGAAGTAAGAGCTATGCAGTAAGAGACCATATGAAAGGCACTAAGGCAGAGACAAAGGTACTGATATTTGCACACAGTGTTCATGATGAGAAGCAGCAGCATGGAAATTGGCTGCACAGCTATTAACTGTGGGTACTGCCACTGCAGGGGAAGTGTTGGAAAAGACAACTCAGGGGGACTGATTGAGTAGCAGCAGGATTAATGTCTATAAGCAGATGGGATGTTGGACTGTCTGGAAATGTTGACTTCCTGACCACGTAGTGCTTGCTAGTATGAGTGTGAGACTCCTGGGTTGCATAAATAACACTTTGGCTATTTAGTGATGCTAGGGGAAAGGTGGTTTAAGGACATCTGCAAACAGGTTTGTAGGTAGAGGTAACTGCCTCTAATAAACTTTTTTATCACTTTATTAAAGTGGTGAAAATAGACAACCGTTAAGGTGTACAGCCTCTGCATTTGAAACAGAAGTGGCAAGCCTCAAACCAAAATACAGCTTCAGAACTGTTGCTCTGTCTGCACTGAAGTCCTCTTGATTGGGGAACAGATGCTTTTGATGGCAGAGCAGTGCTGCAGAACAGGGGATTGTTCTGACACCCATTCAGGGAGTTGTTATTTCCTCTGTATTCTCAAAGAAAAAACAGCAACATCCTGATCCTTGCAGTTCTTGCGAAGGGGAAGAGATGTGTGCTGAAACAAGCGCAACACACAGGAGGTCAGAGGCTAGCTGGCATATGTGCACTCAGATCTGGTTTGCTGACTTAGCGGAGTGTGCAGAATGGAATCTGGACTTTGGATATGGCAATAATAAATGTTAACTTGCTTGTCTGATAAGACAGTGCTCCTTCTATCATGTTTCTGCTATTAGTTCTTGGACAGAGAAACTAGTTGGTTAGCACCCAGTGCAATTAGGGATAAGCTGTAAAGGGTTTGTTGTTTTCCTTGGGTTTTGGTTGCTCTTAGCAAACATACATGAAGGTGCAACTCCTCCAGCACAGATTTAAGAAATCACTACTGGTGTGCTGCTTAAGGCCCATAACTTCACAGAGTTGAAAAGTCTGGTTTTTGTGTTCAACTAAAAAGCATTCCCTGGCTGACTGCAGTGGGCACCTCTTTCTGTCACAATTCTTCAGTCCTCATCTGGAGTGATCTTGTTTCACAATGCAAGTGTTTTAACCTTTGAACCTATTTGACTGTGATGAGACTGCTAAAAATAAATGACAATTGTATTTGCTGCTGTTTAAAATATTTGCTCTGTTCCCTGAGTGTTCAGAGCAAACAGTATGGGGCAATAACACTTTGGGTCGACTAGCCATTCGAGCTTGGTGACTAGGCGTCTGAGCCATCTTATGTGTTTGGTGGGATTAATTATAAATTGGGAGAGACAAAAAAAAATCTGTTTTGGCTTGACTAAATTCCTGACTCACACAGCTGGCACCTAAAAAGGGTTATTCAGTCTTACAAACTGTTGAAGGTACTTAGAGGTTAAGATAAGTTGACATAACAAATTTGAGAGTTGCAATAATAAACTCAGAAGTGTAAAAGTTGATAGAATCAAACAAAAGTTAGAATCTGATTAGTTTTTTCCTTCTGCCCCCAAGTATGTAAGCTATCTTCCAGGCTCACATAACGGCTCCATAAATTAGCCAATCTTCAGCTGCTCATTTAAAGTGCAAACACAACAGCAATCCATTCGAGGCATGAGTCTGTCATTTATAGAATGATCTTATATTTCCTCTAGAACTAGCACATCTGTGGAAGTTGCTTGGCTAATGCAGCCAGAGAGACATCTTATTTGTCTCCACCACAGTGTGCAAGGTACTGACTTGTACCATGTTCCCCAAAAGGCTAAGATAGATGGATGTCACCTCCTCCTAACAAACACCACTCGTGAATGAGTTCTGAATCTGAAAGGTAACATACTTGTTATTTTTAAATCTGAGTATTTAGCTGCATTGGTCTGATTTTTTACTGAGAGAAGAAATGTATATCTGACAGCAGAGAAACCGAATAATGTGATTTCCCCCAGCTTATGCACTACTGAAATACTTATCCCAGTTTTTCCAGTAGTGGTAAAAGGGCTAGAGTTTTATTTTCTGTAGTGAATTTATATTTTAAAGCATCAGTTTGTCTTAATGGACAGATGTAAATATTTTGAGGGATGTTCTAAGCCAGCGTGACTATTACCAGAGGTCCCTGAATAGAGCTGAATCCAAAACAGTGAGTGAGCAAGCACCCGGCTCTCTGCAACATGCTGCTGAGGTAGTCCAGAAACTGATCAGAAGTGAAGAAACAATTTTTCCAGGATACGAATTGCATTCCTTTAAGTCTCTTCTTATTCTTTGGATTAACTGGGATAGGGCTTAAAGTCACTGTAATGGACCAGCATATTACTGGCATGTTTCTAACCCAGCTATGAGTGCCTTAACAGGTACTGTTTGATCTGGATGAAAAACAGGATCCCAGACCTTGGTGGTGGGTGTTCTCGCTACATCCAGCAGCGAGTGGGAGAACCTGGGACTGGAAGGGCATGTGGTGGCCTCTGGCTGGGTAAGCGGTCTGCTTTCAGTGGCACAGGAGAGGTGTCCAGACAGGGGGCAAAGTGAAACCATCTGGCCTAAGAGCTCTCTCCTCTTCATGTGCTTAACTGCATTTCTTTCATGTGCTGGGAGGAGACAGCTGTCCACTTGGCTTCAGTAACTTGCAGTGGTGGGAGGAGAATTATGACCTAAAGTAGTTGTGATAGGGGGTTGGTCTGAGCTCTATGGGCCCTGGGATAACCTCAGCTCCCCTTGTTACGTGTGCTGCCTTGGGCAATTGCTGAATTTTTTCCCCATTCCAGAAGCTCTGTTTGAGCTCAGCTAGGTTGAGCCAAGCAGAGCTGAATACAGTCTCTTTAACTTGGATTTCTGCCAGAAAAAAAAAGAAAAGGAAAATAAAAATCTATAAAAGCATGGTGACACAAGGCAGCTCGTCTCATCCTTCTTCCTTGTAACATTTTCTACATGCTCTCTTTCTGAGGCAGACACAAAGAAAACCATTTTGTCCCTCGTAGGTTTTGGGCATCTTCCAAAGTCTCAAGTCTGAGATACTGAAGATCTATTTGTCTCCAAGATCTAGTCAACTTCTGTTTTGAAAGACATCTTGAAATAGGGATTTGACAGAGGTGAGGGCTTAAATGCCTAGCCAGATCAGTTGCTATGCCAAGAGTTGAACAGATGATCAGAAAGAATTTTATTCAACAAAAAAATGCATTTACAGATGTAACCAGTTTCAAGATTAGATGAACCCAGTTCTGTGGTGTTTGTCACTGGTGTTTGCTTTACCTTGAAGTGAAATACTCCTTTAGGTAACTGTTCCCTAAGCCCCTGGTGACCCTCAGGCTTCAGTCCTGAACCTTATTCAGGCTTGCTGCCGGAGAAAAGCAGGAAGAGATTCTTTAGTGTTAAACTTCTCATGCCTTTAAATGAACCAGATAAAACTGTCCCCATGTTTTACAGCAGTCCTTGATAATTTCCATTATTTATGAACACATTTCCTACAAACTTTCTGTCCAGGGATAGGATGTGAAATACCCACTTAAACAATGAAGAAAAGGGACTTTCTAAACAAAATAATGAAACTGGCAATATACCAAGAACTCAACAGAGCTGAACCAAAAATACATCTGAAGTACTTTAAAGGTCACTTACTGTGTTGTTATGACGTAGATAATGTATTTTTCAGGGGAGGGGGGAAACCAAAACAAACTTTTTTTTCTCTTAAAGCACTGAGCTCTTTCGATTGTAAAACACTGATTTTTCACATGATTTTCCAAAATAATAACCTTGAGGCATTTTCCCACAATTTGTCTTTTCAAGCAACTTTGTTGGGGTTTTTTAAATCTTGGAAAGACAGAGCTTGTCTTGTTTTGTTATGAGACAATCAAGATAAACTCCTTTCCCTTTGAAAAAAGGGTGCACAGTTCTAGCAGGCTTCACAAATCCAGACACTTTTACCAGAAGGTAAAGCAACAGCAGAAACTAAGTGTTAATAAACTGTTACTGATTGATTTACACAACTGTTATAATCGTCCTGGGTGACTTCAGCAAAGAGTGAATCTGAAAGTACCAATTCAACACTGCTATTGATTACAGGTCAAGTTTAATTCTGGTGTATATTTTGTATTTAGGAAAAGTAAATTAAATTAAATACAAAATATTAAAGCAATTTTGTATTTGCAGCAAAAGTGCCATCCCCAAACCACTCTTTTCCTCAATAACCCAGCTTAGCAGAAAACTCTGCATCTGCTAAGGGATCCAAGTAGGACAGGGAGCAGGTTTGGTTTCAAAAGTAACCACTTTAAGTTCATCATTGGACAAAGCAAATGTGTTTGCTCATCTGAGCCTTACCACTGGCTTTTACAGGAAAAAAAACCCCATCTTGTTCAGTGGGAGACACCTCACTGTTAAAAATGTTATTTTCTTCTTTAATTGCTAAAGTCATGGGGGTGACTCCTGTTTAAAGCAGATCTATACATAATAATTTAGCTAACTGGGGGCCTTGGCTAATGCATTGCAGGACTGAGCCCATGTTACAGAAAGTGTAAGTCATGTGAAGGTTTTGCCAGATAAGAGTCGGTGTATTCTGTCTGGCCCAAGCCTGCGTTTGCTTGGTACGGTTAAGTGCAAGCAGCATTTGTTCTGTTTGTGCAGCACATGAGACAAGACTTCCCTGTGGGTTTTGAGCCAAAAAAAAACCCATAAATATCATTACATTTGGAAGTGGAAGGGTGCAACAGCAAATTGATGTAAACAGTCTGAACTCTGCAATATGGAAATGCTGTTTAACCTGGGGAGTCCCGCATGTTCATAAAGCTATTCTATCATCTGATGAACCTAAAATGAAAGGGATTTGGCAAAGCATCAAGTTTGCTAGCTTGGATAACATGTCCAGGAAACAAAAAATGTTGCAGACCACAAACCCACAGAAGAAGTTGTAACAACAGACCTTGCAAAAATTTACCATGTCTTGCAAAAGCAGAAAACCCCCAATTCAGTGTTTGATAAAAATATAATCTAATAAGATATACAGTGGAGACCATCAACAATTGAACCAAAGATTTTGCGCAAAGAGGGAAAGAAAAAGGTCAGAATGTATCATCATATGCACATATGAAAACTGAAGTAAACATGTTTTGCAGAGCTCTCACTCTTACCAGAAGCAGTGTTACAGAAAACACCCCCAGCCAAATCACAGCAGACACGTGTATTTTTACAGGAAGCATAGAAAGCCCTCGTGGAACTGTGTAGAGATTAACATAAAGAGCCAATCTGTATAGACAACTGATTTGTTCAGAAGTGGAAGCTGGAAGAAAGGTGAAGTTATGATAACTTCTACGACCCTGTGCTGGAGAAGGAGATCCTTCAAGCTCTGTTCAACTGGAGAGGGAATGGTTGAATTCTGTACGAGGTTGAATATGTACGAGGGAGGCCCAGAGCAACAACCTGTGCGTCTGTCTGCTGGACCCTGTGGAGTTGCTACAGACCTCTCGCTGGAACTGAAATCAGAATTTGGCAGTAGAACACGAGTTTCTGATGACACAGCAAAACCCAGCTTCCTTGGGCTTTCTTTTGTAAGCTGCTTCTGACCAAAAAAAAAAAAAAAAAAGTAAAGCAATTAGTAATTCATTAGAGGATGGCAAAACACGAGCAAGAAAAAGATCAAGGACATAAAACTTTACGAGCAGAAACTTTTTTGCTGACGGTACATGTAGAGAGATACATAAGGTTAAGTACGCCAGTGCCAGATAAGAGTGCGCGCACAGCCCAAGGTGAGCAGCTTACAGCAAGGACGCCCTGTGTTCGAATAGTTTCGGCGGCACAACAGCGGGTTCAGATCCTGCGGGGGAGCAGGAGGGGTAGAGCAGGATGCCGTGTTACTATATCCCCTGGAGGCTTGCTACTGGGTATCCTCGCATCGCACCGTCTCCTTTGTGGCCCGCTTCTGGTTGAAGTGCAGCACCCGCCCCCAACGGGCTGCGCACAACCACGGGCTGTGCACAAAAAAAGGGCTGTGCACGCCGGGGGGATGAGACAAGCAGGTTTTAGGGCTCGTTCCCCGTCCCATGCCGGCCTGGCATCGGGCCGAGAAACAAACCTGGACCTCTCCGGCAGCCGGCGACACACGGGCAGGGGGTGAGGCTGCTGCCCGGACACTCTCCCAGGGCAGCCGTGCTCTAGACCTGGCCTGGACGAGTCAGTGCCTCGGGCCAGGGCAGCGCTGCCTTCCCTGCTATGGGCCCGTCCCGGCTCCGCCCGTCGGGGCCGCGGTGCTGATTCAGCTGCGGGAGGGCCCTGAGGGTGCCGCGGTCCCGCGGGCGGGGCGGGAAGGGGGGGTGGCGGGCTGCCCACTGCCCTCCGGGGACATAAAAGGCGGCGGCCGGAGCCCGCCTGTGTCTTCCGGCGCCGGCGGCACCATGACTGCCATCGGGGCGCAGGTACGTCTCTCCCTGCTCCCGCCGCCGGGGCAGCGCCCGAGAAGGGGGGCTCGGGGAAAGCTCCTCCGGGTACCGAGGCTGCCCATCTCGGGGCAGCTGCTGCGGCTCGTCCCTGCGTGGCTGGGTACGCCGGGACCCTTCCCGGAGCTGCGGGGCGCAGCCGGCTTGTCCCTGGCTTTCCCCAGACGGATAGCAGCTCCCTAAGCCCGTAGCTCTCTCCCCGTCTCCGTCGGGGCTGCAGCTGTTCTCGCAGCCGCACCCGGCTCTCTGAGCACCACCGCCTGCCGTGCAGAGCTGGAGGGCGCTGCGGGGTGCTTGGCTCGGCTTTTAAGATCTCGGGTACTCTTGGAGGGGTTCGGTGAGGAAGCCGTGCGTTGCCTTAGCGGGTCCGCGATGGGTGCATCTGGACAACCCAGCCCCGGGGAAAGCTGAGCCGTACCGCCGATGGGTGAGGAGCCGGGCCCGGATCCCGGCTGCCGCTGGCAAGGGCAGAAGAGAGCCAAGAAAGGAGAGCCCGGCTGGCGGCAGCCCGAAATGGCTGTGGGAAAAGAAGGGCAGTGCTGGTAATTGGGGGCTCCCCTTTTCTCCTCCGCCCCGCTTTTGTCTCCTCCGCCGTCCATCCGTCGGCTCCATTCTCCCAGGGGCCGGTGGTTTCCCCAGCCTTGCCAGAGCAGCAGGCTGTGCGGTGGGGGCCGCGGGGCTGGTATCCTGCTCAGCTCACAGCCTTTGTGATCTGAGGCCGGGCCTTGATATGGAAGCGTTCATTGTTCATGCAGCCGGGGAACCGGGAGAGCTTCACCCACCCTTCCTTTCTCACAGGTACAGTTTGTGACTGCATCACTTCCCCTGTGAGAAGGGGGTAGGTGTGCACAAGCAGATCTTTTCAAGTACTTAAGTCCCATAGCTTTGTACCTCTGGCTTCATTTCACCCTTAATTAGTGCTGTTAACCCAGGTTTTATTTACTCTACTACCCTTTAAGGCACAGAGGCTGCTGGCACACCGGAGACCGCAGAAATCCTTCTTTGAGACACTCATCAGGAGCTTGATCATCTTGTGTGTGGCAATAGCAGTGGTCTTGTCGTCCATCTCTGTCTGCGATGGCCGCTGGCTCTTTGCAAGGGGACAGCTCTTCGGACTGTGGCACTTCTGCACCGTTAGCAATGGCAGTGTCCTCAAGTGCGTCACTGACTTCAGCCTGGCCGAGGTGGAGGGGCTGAGCATGGGGGTGATTCCTGTAAGGAGCATGGTGTCCTTTGCTCTTGTGGTTGCCATATTTGGCCTGGAGCTGCTGATGGTGTCCCAGGTCTGTGAGGATGCCAATGCAAGGCGGAAGTGGTCAATGGGCTCAGTTCTCATCCTTGCCTCGTTTTTGCTGTCAGCCACCGGTGTCCTGAGCTTCTCCATCCTTGTGAAGGATCACCTCACCTTCACAGGCTTCACACTGACATACTGGTGCGAATTCATTGCTGCCTTTCTCTTCTTCCTTAACGGGATCAGCGGACTTCACATCAACAGCCTCACACACCCCAGGAACAGGGTAGGCAAGATCTAGGTGCAAAGGGTGTACTCCACCTTTGTGTAATCAGTTTTGCCAATTAGACTGGAAAAAAGAGTGTCTAATGAAGCTTGAAAAGGACACCATGTCTTAAATTGTGTGCAAAGTGGGGAAGCATGAGTCAGTCTTGATGGCTGTAGAAGACTTACCCACCCACTGGTCAGCATGAAGGGCTGCACAACAGGAGCAAAGCTGACTGGGACTGGCTGTTGCAGTGCAGTTTCTGGAAGAGTGGATTAAAAGAGGGTGTTCTGTCAAACATGTGGAGGGGTAGCAGTCTGTGATCTACAGACACAGGCCATTTTGAGGCTTATATGAAGCCTGTACTCTTATCGGTTTGGTCTTCCTATGATTTCCCCTGTACTCTGAGCCTGTGAATAGTGGCATAACTTTGGTGTGTGTCGTGGCTCTGCTCTGCCCTGGGGACAAATGATTTGTGGCTGGTCGTGCTCAGTGGCACAGAGTATTGAAAATCTCAACAGGATCTCACTCCTCCACTTATATTTCAAAAGAGCAGGCACACAGGTCTTGATCTGGTTACTCATTTTGTGTGTCTGCTGGCATGTTCTCTGTATCTGATCTGTTTTTCTGGGACACTTCTGACAGAAGCAGAAAGATGTAGCTGTCCTGGGACCAAGAGCAGGCTCTGGGTGTGATGCAGGTGTAGAAGGAAGGATTTTGATGTATTCCTTGGGCAGCAGTGTATGTTCCTGTGTTCAAATCCTCTACTCGCTGTCACCACTCCTCTGCTATGCTTGTAGGATGTGTGCCAATAGGTCACCCAGACTGGTTCCCTTTGCCCTTGCAGAGTTCACTGTAATGGACTGTTGCTCTTCCTGGTTTCCTTTTTGTCCCCTTGGGAGAAAAGGGACAAGCTCTGCAGGGCTTCAGGTGGGCGTTGTGGCTGGGCAGACCATGCTGAGAACATCAAACCTTCTGGGCTGTGTTTTGGTTGTCAGGGCTCCCTGCTTGGGTAATAGGAAATCTCATCCTGGAGCTGAGCCTCCTGCAGCATTTCTTCTGGGAGGTGAAAGCTCTAAATCCTCGTGACCAAAGTCCCACTATTCCCCTGAGTAACAGTGGGCCTGGGAGGAGAAACAGTCCATGACAGCAGCTCTAATCTGTCACAGCTGGTGGAAATACAAAAAGTCTTGGTCAAAATTACATTAAGGCTGGTTCTCCTCCTGCCAGTGCCTGAATTGAGATCTCTGAAATTGCTGCAGCTTTGAAGTTCCCCATGGTGTCTGATGTAAAAAGGGAGACCTCAGGGGCTGGTTACCCTATGTATGTCCTCCTGTCTTGCATTCAGCACTCTGTTGCCCACCAGTAATAATGTCTTCAGAGTATTTCAGGGTTTCTGGTTTAAGCTTGTATTGTGTCCACTGGTAAATCCAATTGTGTTTGTGTTCTAGGATAAATGTTTCTACATGTTTCATTGCTGTAGCTTGTCTGATAGCTGTTGAGCAAGGTTTTCATTTCCTGTGCAGCAAGTTTGCCAATTTTTCACCTGAAACAAAAGGTCATAGCACAAAGGCCAAGAAAGCTGTGAAAGTGAGCCACAAGTAAACAGATTTGTCTTTGAAAGCTGAGAATCTGAAGTCCTGCCTAAACATACATCCACACTTGCCGGATGGGCTCCTGTGAACTTGCTTGCCTTCATGAGGATAGTCTCCATTCCTTCTCAGATCTCCATAACTTTTAAAGACAATACTCCTGTGCCTGTTTTGTGATGCAGTTTCAGACCAGGCTTGCTCTGGACACTGTCACTTGTGCTTTTGCACATGAATCTGCCCTTCTTCCTGGTGAGATAATGCACAGAGCTGTGCTACCCAGGCAGCTTCTGAAGCTCTTGCAATGGCTGGGGCTTTGTTAGGCTTTCTTGACCTGCTTTTAAGGACAAGGACTTGTGCCCTTCACCTGCCTCTGGAAAACTGCACTGTGATTGTGTTTCTGTGAAGGTGCTTTTGATTTGTTGAATTGCACTGTTAAAGATGTGCTAGTGGGCTGAACTTGGACAAGTTGGTGTGAACAGTGCTGTGAATTTAGCAGAGCCACTCACCTGAGAGGGAGTCTGCAAGTTCTGGTCCCAAACATTTGCACTTTGGAGTTACTAGATGGTGTAGAGTGCCTTAACCAATAACTCAGTTGTGGTGCCTAGGGGTGCCTATGTCAGGTGAGACAGTTCACCTACCAAAGGTTACGGGTGTCCATGGCTTGTCTAGAAAAGTGGGTGTAACCTCAGAGTTTCTTCTTGCTGACATCCAAAACTGGAAATCAATTCTTCATGTGCTAGCAGGAGGCTCTGGCCCCAGTCCTTTCCCTGGGTGAAGGCAGTAGCCAAACTATCCCAGCCTGATGCCTCCCACTGTGGTTAGAAGAAAGCAGTGAAATTGGCCACTGAGTTCACCCAAGACTTGGTGCAATTATGAACGATTTTAGGATGCCCTCTGCTAGCTGAAGGAGAGGCCTTTTGTTAGGGGTAGGGAATCCTCTAGGGAAAACACAATAACTTTTTTCCAACTACTTTTGTATAGTGCTGCTTGACTTACTAATGCTGGGAGAAGATCTGTTTTGATAGCTAAATTCATTGTCTCACATATATCCTTATATAAAGCAACCTGTGCAGCAATGGGTAACTGTTGATTTTCTGAAGCCTGTGGAAGTGTCAAGCAATATTCCTGAAGTTTGTTAAATAAATTTCTTCAAAATAAAAGAACTGTAATTCTTTCTTTTTATATTTAGATAGTGGGGTGCAGATTTAAGGGGATGAGTGGAGTTTACATAATCTCCCAGCTGCCATTCCGTGTGTTTACCCAGATAGACGATGAAGAAATGACTGCATGGTGCTTTGCTGAGCTCTGACCAAGGGAGCTGTGGCTGCTGCACACTCCCCTCTCCTTTCCCCTCCAGAGTGTCCACACCAACCCAAGTAGCCAGATCTGCTTTGTTGTCTTGCAAAACAAGATGGGCAGTCAGCTGTGCTGCTTCATGGGAATTACAGATAACCATGCAGGATCTTAATGATTTCCTGTTGTTCCATGTGCTCTGTTTACCAGCTAAAGAGCTCTGTCCTTCACCTCCCTTTTCCCACACCACACCCTGTATCTGAAGCATCCTTTCTCTTTTCCCCAGCTCTGCTTTTTTGGCCTGCGGAAGTGGTGTATGAGTAAAAATGTACTTATCCAGGTTTTTTTCCAAGCTCATTGTACTAGGAGGTTTAGTCAAATGTCAGGAAAACATTTCCATTCTTCACCACTGAATTAGTTTATGTAATCTCAAGTAAGTTAATTAGCACATGGTGTTCTCTTTCTGATGGGAGAGATTGTTGGTCTGTCTCAGATGGTTTAATATCTCTTAAAAGCAGGATAATGAATGTCACCTTGTTAATGAGCTGTTTAGACTTACTCAGTTACTAACTTTAATTGGAAGCTTGTGCACAAACCATTGTTTGCAGATAAGAAGGAAATAACAGTACAGGGCATGCTAGCTAGAGAAATATATTGGACTGTTACTGGCATGTTTATTTTTAAGTCTACAGTACCTTCATCAGCTGTGCTTGGAAGGACATCTGGTCTGGGGGTTGAGCCTTGCTTGCTTTTACGAGTCAAGGAAAGGTGATGACCAGAGGATGTCTGTCTTCATGGGCCTTCTCTTTCCCTCTGCTGGGGTTTATGTAAGCAGGTAATGGCCCTTCCTGATCTTTCATGTCAGCTTGCATGCCTAAGAAGGTCCTCATCTCTGGGTGAAAGAAAGGTGCACCCTGGCGGGATGTCCTGGAAGGGGTATTGGCTGGATTCCTGGGGCCTCTCATCTTCTTGTGGCTCCAACCCCTTTGAACTGCCACCATCCCTTTTTGAAAAAGCTAATTTCAGCTCCCTTGATACCCAGTGAGGCATTGCACAATGTAATAATTCACTGCGCAACAATACTGCTTTTTGCTTCTGATAGTTTTGCTGGGAACTTCCTTGTTCCTGTGTTGGGAGAGTAAATCCATTAATCATTTCCTCTTAAACTCAGCCTCAGGTCTTGAACTGCTGATGCTCAGGCTGCTGGAGCTGCTGCATGCAGCACTGGTTTGCAGAGCTGCAACTGGCTTCTCAGGTGACCTGGAGTGACAAACCAGAGGCTGTCAGCAGTGACCCTGAACAATGATAACCAGTTGTCTGAAAGATGGTCCTCACGTCCTGTTTACTGGCAACAAATGTCACTGGATGAGCTCATTACACTGAATGAGCAAGTATTAGAGAAAGGGAAGTGGTTGGACTCTGAATATGGAGTCCCTGTTCAGTTTGTGTCAGTAGTTTAAGGCCACTGATGCTGGAGTCTGCATGCCTTGCACCCATTCATCTCCCACTTTTTGCATAGCTTGCTGAGATTTACTTCCGTGTTTCTCTTTATCTGCTTATAAAAATGGCAGCACTCCCAAAGCAAAGTTACTCTTTTCTTTAATATTTTTCAGTACAGTTTGTCAAAAGAGATGCCCAGCAGGGAAGGATGCTTTTGCAGCCCTAGTGCAGAAGATGGGTGAGGTGAGACCCACACCACTATGGGGGTGTTTGACAGTAGCTTTCTACATCCTGGTCACAGTATCATAATGCCTGGGAGCACCTGCCTAAAGGGTATGCTCTTCCCAAAATGATGAGGATTCCACATGGCAGCTGACATCTAAGGGATTTTATGGAGCCTCAGCTCTTCATCCAAATTAGGCCGGTGCTCAATGCCTGAAGAATTCAGTATCTGGGAATGCTTCCTTTTTTTCCTCTTTTTTTTTTTTTTTCCCCCTGTTTCAGGCAAGTTAAATAAAACCAAAAAGGCTGTGAAAAACAGTGACTTATGCTAGAACTTTTTTAAAAAACAAAACCCAGGATCTTTTTATTCTGGGGCATGTGATTTTCCTGTGTTTCAATAGGACTCCTGTACAATTAAGTATCAGCCTGGGCTCTACCTGACCTTGTGCCATCAGTGCTGGTGCTAACTACACACTGCACAGCTGAGGACTGGCTTGTGGGAGAGCCAGTAATTGCATCAGATCTAATTAATTGCATGTTACTGTATCTCTGAATCTTTATTTCTTCATTTATGCCGGATGGAGGCACTTGCATTTAAAACAAACAGCTGCTTTGGCTTGATTGATAAATGCTTAATTCTCTGGCAGGTAACATGCAAATTATTAAACAATTCTTGGTCTTATTTGCATGTCAGAAAGAAAATTAGGCTATTGGCTTTATCTTTTTGGAAGTATCTGACTTGCTAAATGCTCTGGGACAGTGAACCCCCAAGAATGTTGGAGGCTCTGGCTTGGCTTGGCTAAGTCAGTTGGAAGTGAGACCTTTTACCCAAACATGCATGGAGGGGCATTCACTTCTCCCTTGGTCATGGGGCTGATCCTGTTTCTGCTCTTCCTTCCACTTGCTGTGGCTGAGTTTTAGAGGACAAAGTCAACTCAAAACCTTGACGTTTCCAAAAACTTAAGTTTAAAATAAACTCCTGGAAACGGTTGCCAGTTTATATTTGATTTTTATTTCTTGGTTTTAAAGAGGTTCAACTCTCCCACCACTGCTGGGTGATCTGCATCAGTAGGCAAAGCCAATGAGGCAGAGGAAGCCGGAGCAAGCACCAAACCCTCCCTTCTACTGATGTGTCCTCCCTTGCCTGACTGTCATCAGTGCTGCTGCCTGCAGTGCAGGCATAGGAAAAAAGATATTTTTCCTGAATCTTGGGGTTTGAAGCAGTTTTAATAGCACTCAAAAACCTGCTTCTGCACAGGTAATTTGACTTTGAAAGTATGCTTTGAATTTCTCTGCATGTTTGCCTTCTAGTAAAATAGCAAGAGTCTACCACAATGGCTTGATGTGAATAAATGCTGTCAGGGCAGTTTTGGCAGAGCAGTTGGGGAATGCTGATTGTTCCACATTTGACATACCATGCATGGTGAGGAGGGAGAAGCATGATAAGCACCACTTGCTTTCTGTTTAGCCACCTTTGTCCTTGTAGAAAACCAGTCAAGAATTGCTTCAACTGGGGAAATGTAGACACAAAATCAGGTAGAAGGCTTGATTGCATTTGCCAGATGGTTTCTTTTATACTTCATCACTCAAGCCAGAGAAATTTGCTTAACAATTTTATACTTAAGAGCATCAAGCTGTAACAGAAGCTCAGGTAACTTGTTATAGCATATTGCAGTTTACAGCTTTCAGCATGCTGAGTGACTAAAGAGACTTTTGCCAAACACTCTGATATTGTTCTTCACACGATACCTTATACTGTCCAGTTCAATTGAGTTTTAAATGTCTCAGGGGCTTTCAGTGATTCCCTTCTAAGTCCCACTTTTGGATACATACACAAGACTCCCAGTACAGTCCATGGGACTTAGCCATGTGTATCTGAGCATGGGGGTATCCTCCAGGCATACAGTGTTAAATCATGCTTGATCTTTGGAGTGTTGCTCTCCTGTGCCCTGGTGGGCTCGACCTCACCATCTGCATCTCTTGAGTTAAGCCACTTCCTCCGTTACTTGCTGAGGTGCTGAGATGCCGACGCAAGTGTTTGCTTAAGTGCCACTGTCTCCATTTTCTCTGAACTTCCAGCTGAACCTAGATAGAGAGGTCACAAAATACTTAGTTCAGCTAGTCTACCTTGGAGACCCACATTGCAGAGAGCAGTGTAATAGGCAAAAGAAAGCGGGCTACCTTTGCCAAGGTTTGTATTTGTTTAACCCCTCTTTTAAGGGGTATGGATAGGGCCTGTTTCTTGTCACTTTCTAGTGATACTGTTGTTGCAGCCACACAGTTTTCTGTTAACCTGTTTTCCTGTTCACAGAGTCTAGCTGGCCTTAGCTAGTGTTTGGTTTAGACTTTTCCAAGATCTTTGTTATTAATTATAAAATGGGACATTTTGGCACTCTAAAAAAAAAAAAAAAGAGCAGATTTTCCTCAAAACAACTTTTTCTGCACCCTGCTAAAGAATCAGTCAGAGTATTTCAAACCCCTCCTCCCTTTCAAAGTGACTTTTCTTCCAATCTTAGTCACTGTTTTGGTTTTATTTACTTTCAGTAACCTCAGGATCTCCCAGGTTTGGATATGTTTCCCCCCACCTCTACCAGCAGCAGTATTTCAAAGTGCAAGTTCTACTCCAGAAGCCTGGGAGTTATCATATGACTAAAAGAAAATGGTCCTTCTTTGAGAAGTTTTACCTTATGAGAGTCCTAATAAACTTGGAGTGGGTACAGCTTTTGATAAATTCCCACCCAAGGATCAAACACAAAAGCCAGCCATTAGTGCAGTACTTCAGAATCAGCTGATATTGTCAGTGTGCTCATGTGCAGGTTGGTACTCCCACCCTCTGTTCCCAGAGAGTAATAATGCTGTATCTGATTTACGAAAGAGCTGCAATAGTTGAGAGGTGAAGTTTGCATCTGGCATACAATTAGTTAAGCTTGTCAGGTCTAGGAGGTGTTTCATGAGTGACTTAAGGTAGCTAGGAAGAAAACCCTGAGATAAAACATGTAATTCATTGGAGGACATATTCTACTGATCAATAAGGCATGCTTGAGCAATAAAAAGAATGTTATATACACAAAACTCACCTCACCATTAAGAAAACAATAAAGTACAGCCACAACAAAGCCCTGAAAGATAAAAGAACCATGGTCACAGAATTAGAACTGCAGTGTCAGATTTTGAACAGGGATGAGGCAGCTCAAGGGCAATCAGACAGCTTGATTTTGTCATTGGGACTCTGCTCTGTGGCAGACGTACATGTCTTTTTCTTATTTTAAAGAAATAAGAGCTCGTCAAATATTACCTGGAATGATCCAAGAGCCAATTCAAAAAACAGCTGAATTTCCATTGTGCCACTGCTTGCATCTTCAGGGAAAAAGGCAAAGATTATGTAGTGGACCCCGAAGAGAGGGATGAGGAGGAGTGTTGACTTTGCAAGCCTCCTGAGAACAAAGAGGGGAAAGCTGACGTAGAAGGAGCAAGAAGAGCTCAGGTGAGCTGATGTGCATGAAGTCAGGACGTAAGGGACATACTTGTATTGGCTGAAATCACTGCTCTGTCCTTCAGGTGAGCTGAGCTTCCTCATCAAGATTCTTAAAATGTTGACAAAAAGAATGAAATTAATCTGGGGGAAAAAAAAAGAAAAAAAGGATGGGAAAAAAACCCTCCAAAGCAAAATCACAACCAAACACCAAAACCAAGTGCCCAGTAAACACTTATGTAACTGCCATGTATCAGCAGAGCAATTGGGTGTTTAGGCTGAACAGGCAAAATAGAGAGGCTGGCCTGCCCATGTCCCTGTCCCCATCCCAGTTCCTGTCCCTGCCTCTCCAGCCTGTCCAGCCACCCCTGGGTTTGGGTGATGGCTGCTTTCCCTGCCAGTTTGCTGCAGCTTTAGTTATGGGGACGATCAGGGCATACTATCTGACCAAAGGGCAAGGAGACCAAGTACATCAGTAGGATACCTTATGTCTGGGGTTCAGACAGCCTCTACACAGTCTGGCCCCACTTTGGATTCCAGCAAAAAGGCAGTGCTGGATCTACCACTTGCTAAGTGAGCTGAAAATGCTGCTTGCTCTCTGCCAAAAGACACAGCATGGTTTGGGTTGATGGAGGCAAAGTAGTTAAAGGTGAGCATAGGAAAGAGTCGATACTCAAGCTCTTCCTTTTGCATTTTTCCCCTTCTCCAAGGTCTGTTATCAGATAAAAATGCTGATTGGCTGCTCAGTTTGGGTAAAGATGAAGCAATAGCTGTTTCTGCTCGTTTGACCCTCAGGCAGAGAGCAGGAGCCCCAGGGGAGGCAGAGCTGGCCTGAGCATGCCTCTCTCCCATGGGCAGCTTGTAGCACTGGGGATTGATTTGGATTTTATCTGCCCTTTGCACCAGGGCTCCCAGCATCATTCTGCACCCGCACAGCCTGCAGACCTGAGCCCCTTTTGTAACACCCTGCACTGTAACTCTCCCCTGGGCCTGGAAACACCATCGCAGTGATGCTTCCTCTTCATGATGGCTTGGACGTGCCTGTGGGTGTTGGAGCAGGGCTCTGAGGTGGCGAGTTTTCCTAAAAGGAGTGGGTCTGCTGTAGATGGGACAGATCCAGAGTGTCTCTGTGCTCCCTAAATTATTGGATGAAGAGGGAGCAACTTTGCCTGTGTGGTCTGGGCAGCTGAGAGTGTCTGGAGAGGGCTGGGAAACATGGAAGGAAAGAATGAAATATTTTGGGGCTACTGTGGGAGAAGGAGGCTCAGGCCTGAGGATTCTTTTTTTTTTTTTGTTCCGCTAGGCCAGTGCAGGCTGAACAGGACTTTTTGCTGATGAAAAACTACTGTGGAAGGGGAGACTGTGGGATTCCTGATGGAAGGGATTGCCCGCGAGCAGCACAGCAATGAATGTTAGCCTAGGAGTACAAAAGAGTTTATCGGTGTTGATTTTCTGGCCTTTGAACTGCTAAATACTGTGTGCTGTGAGGAATAAAGAGATTAGATCTGAATTCTGAAGGACTGGCTGTGGGCTTCAGAAAAGCCTCTCTTAGGTAAAGAGACAGAGTCATGCAGGCAGCTCCTGCTAAGCTAGATGTGATCAGGATTTTGATGAAACTTGGAAGAGGATGGGGGTGGTGGCCTTCAGAAGGTAAATGAAGATTGTGCTTTTTGCCTTGCAGGGTGCCTGGGCCTTGTTGGCATTTAACTGTTGCTGAGTAGCTCCTGGAGCATCAGGGTTATAACATTAAGGAAAATAAATGCCGTGGCCTCATTAAGTTGATCCTGAATCATTTGTGTGGCCTTCAGCTTGTTCTTGTGGGGTGAAGGGTTGCTCAGTGGTAAATGGGAGCAGAACTTTAGACCACCATCTCTGCTGCTTGGGTTTCCAAAACAGCATGCAAGTGTTGCAGTTTGTGTTTTGGAAACATAATGGCTCCTACTGGCAGCACAGAAACCTAGACCAACTCTTGGGTTCTTGCCTTGGAGTGTCAGCAGGTTGCTTGAGAGTAACTAGCACTTTGCATGTTTCTGCACGTGGGCTTTGGCTTCAGATAGATCATTGCAGAGTGGTCTCCCCCAGAGCATCTCCATTGGGCAGAACAACTACCTCCAAGAGACAGCTTCTGCCCCACGGTACCTAAGGCTCTGAGTAGCAGCAAATATTCAAACCACAGGTGCTGATTATTGTATGTACCAAACTGCTCTTGACATTGCTACTGTCTTGTACTGGGCAGATTCACATCAAATTTGAATGTGCATGCTCATTTCAGTGAGCAATTCCGTAATAGTGTAATTGCAGGCCACTAACATATGGTGCGGGCAGCATGTGAGCTGTTTTCATTGTTGAAAGCAAAAGTTAATGGTCATGTAAGGCACATTGGTTTTGGCTTTGCTGAGAGGGGCATTGACCAGGAGACACAAAGGCGATTGTACTGAAATGTACAGTCCATTTCTTTCTCCTCCAGAGCCTTCCTTGAAACAGTCCAAAACAAGCTTCCACAAGCCTGCCAAGTTCATATGAAATCAACAGGATGTGGAAACCCGATCTTCTTCAGGCTCTTGCTTCTTGGGAGGACACTCTAGCTTTCCTTGTGAACTCAGCTTCGGGGCATTAGTTACTGACTAAATCCTGCTGAGCAGAAGTTGCTTAAGCACTATGTGTCACACCAGTTCAGGCACATGCCTAAATCAGTTCATTAGCATGCTTCTAAAGCATGTTGACTTTGTAGTATTTGAAAATACAGTTTGAATCTGCATGTCCCAGAAAAGACTTACAAAAATAGACAAAACTACAGGGCCTCTAATGATCCACCAGGTATTGGCATTAGTGTTGATGTCCCAACACCTGTAAAAATAGAAGAGAAGGTGCAGTCAGTTATCAAAACACTGGTGTCTTTTCAAAGAGGTTAAGTGTGTTTTGCACTTCAGATAGGCCACTATTCCCTTCTACAAAATTAATTTCCTGTTCTCACTTAAAGATACAACATTTCTAATGAAAAAATGTCCACTTGCACTGGATGAAAGTATACCCTGCCCTTCGAGTACAACCTCTGTTCAAGATTCTGGAAGAGAGAAGAGAAAATAAGAAAGTTTTACTGATCAAAAAGTCAAATACAGATGCTGAAAACGTTGTGGTCTGAATTTGTACTTGAAGGCCACCTCCTACCCCTGGAAATGCTCAGATCAAATCTGAGGCTCTTTCTCAGGCTGCTCAGCTGGACCTCTACTCCCACCCACACTAGGATCCAGGCTCACATCACAACAGGGTGGTGGTTGGTTTGCTTGCCTGCCAGTGCCTAGAAATGAGCAGGACCATGTGGAGCAGCCTGTGCAGGGGCTGCATGCTCCCCATGGTGTGCCACCTTCCCCACATCCACACAACTTACCCAATATTTTCATGGAGTTGCCTAGCAGTTGCCCACGCAACCACAAATACAGATGGGGCACCTGCAATTGGAAAACCTAGTTACTGCTCCACAAGTCCATCCCAAATATAAAACAAACCCACAGCTATTCTTACTGAAAGGAAAACCAGTACCCCATCCGAGAGCGATGAACCACCAGAGGAACTTCCTTTCTGAGAAGAAGGAAATAACCAGGAGAGTGTGGAGGTACAGTCCCTCCACGAGGAGCCAGCTGTAGTTAGACATGATGCAGTACTGAAAGAAGACCATGGTGAACTTACACCCAACCTGAGGAAAGAGAGGATAATTAGCTTCTGCCTCGGTTTGCATCTACCTTCTAACAGAGAGAGAGTTGTAAATAAATCTTGGAAATAGAGATTTTATAGCGATTAGGGGACTGAATGGGTGACCTTGAGACAGGTGATCACATGATAATAAAGCTAGGTTGGCATTTGTAAAAGCATTAATCAGCTGCCTCACCAGCAAGAATCAAAGGTGTCATGGGCATGGGTTTGGGTTACTGTCTCACTTAAAGGAGGTTTCACCTTACTAGTATCAATAGCACTAATACCACCTTAAAGAAGCACGTGAATGTATTTGTCAGTATTTTTTTCCTAGAGAAAAAAGGGTCAATAAAGGTAAGTTCAAATTTGCTCAAAATATTCTTGGTCAGCAACAGAAATGCGGCAAAATGGGGGGGAGTGTGGGTAAACCAACCAAACAAAAAAAGGCCTTTTTGTGATGTGGGGTTTTTGCTTCTTTGTTTCCCCCCCTAATTCTTATCTTTTGGTTTAAAGTATTGAACAACATTTACAGTGCTCACTCGCACTCCCAATTTTCAAGATATTTTGCTGCCAATCAAGAGAAAAAGACAAAAAACAATTCAAAATTTGGGAAGTTCCTTTTCTTTTCCAGGCTTTCCCAAGATATGAGTGCAAACCCATATCTTACTATCAGGTCTCACCCTGCAGTATAAGTCAGCAATAAATGTGTTCTCATACTTTTCCTGCCAGCCCCATCTACCAGGATCTAAAATCCGTGTAATAATCTCCACCCTGGTTGTGTATCCTGTGTTCAAAGCCTGAGATACCCATGTTTAGGCATTTCTGGGTCAATGTGCTGAACACCTAGTGTCTTCTGCAGCCATCTAGTTAACACAGTCGAACTGATGAATGCAGTAATCTACTTCAGACTGACCTGGATGCCTTCTGTTCCAATATTTGTAAGGGCATCTATAGCCTATATGAGAAACCACACCTGGGTTTCTGTGTGTGTGCTCCAGCCTGGGCTGGTTTTGCATCCTCATGCCTCCCTCACTCATCCAGAATACTCCCAAACAAACCTCAGCCAGGAACTACCAGGATGTGGCATCAATTGACAGACAAGGGAAAAGACATACTTCTCTTCTTCCATAACCCCATATGTTGAATAGAAAGCTGGGATGGAGATTTCCTTTCCTGCACCCTAACTACTGCTAGGATCCTCCAAGGAAACTGAGGCATGGAGCAAACTAGAAGGAAGAGGGTTACCATGTATGCTCCACAGTAATTTATGTCTTCAGAAGAAAACAAAACGGCATCCTTGATGAAGTTGGATGAGGCTCGCAAAATGAATGATGTGAAGAGGTGCATGTGGATATAGTTCCTCGTACAGCGAAGTCTTCTGTTGCAAAAAAGAGAGAGGTCCCATGAAGTTACATTCCTAGGTAACACAAGTAGCTTGTGGCTGTAAACAGCAGGTTTCAACCCTTATTAATGCTGAACTGACAAATTAAGGACACTGTTTTTCTGCCTGTGAAAGGAAGACTAATGAATTTCCTAAAAGGGATATCCTGGAGAAGACCTTAAAAAGCTGAAGTCACATCTGCTCCACTTAGATACTTAAATAAGCTGAACACTGCCAGAAAAATTATGGTTTCATGCTGATATGCTTGTTCTAGCCTCCCTTCTTTCTGGAGTAACATGAACCAAAGGTGTTTATCCACGCCTGCGTGGATTTATTTGGTTTGCTTGCATAGTACACTTGTGCATGCAACGTTTTCTGTTTTAAATCTCCACATAATCTGGGTCCAGAGGCTATGCAGCCAGAAGACAAGTTTGAAAAATAGTTGGGGTTCCTTCTGCCCGTCTGACACTTACTGTAAGGGATTTTTTTTTCACTGGATAAGTAGCAAAGTACAAATTCCAGGTTATAAGGTTGTGTGAAGATAAAGTGACAGATTGCTGCTGTCAACTTCAATTTTTTACTTGCCCTGAAAGCCAACAGAAGGATCTTGTGTCTGCTGAGATGACCAGAAGTCCTGGCCAAATGCAAACCGGAGATGCTTTTCCTCACCTAAAAGAGATCAGGACCGCTAAGGCTATCATCAGTGTCACGAGGGAGGTGCAGTATCCAATGGTGTACATGGTCTTCAGAGTCATGAAATAGGAGCGCTGCAGAGGAACATATATTCACATCTTTACCTTTGACTGCCTGGTAGAAATCAGCCCATACAAAAAGAAAGGTGTCTGTTCTTATTTAATAAACAAATTTTCTTGTGAAATCAGCTACTGAAGTTTTACCCTGAGCACCCCATTCTGATAATTTGGAGGAAGCATTTATGCTGAAAAACACTTTTAAGAATAACCCCAACAGAGCTAAATCACAACCTCATTCAGTCTCTTCATAACATATTCCTCCCCCAAGGCTCCAGAGCAGCAGATCTTTGGTCATAGGCATTCATACTCACTCTTGCCTCATTCGTTGTGTCATTGACATTGTAGCCACAAGCAATATCAGGTCTTGGGTATGGGTCAGACCAACCTTCACTTGTACAGTTTCGATAGACAAAACCTGTGTGGTAACAACAGAAAAAAAAGACAAAACCAGCTATGATCATTTCAGATTGTATCTTTGGTCTCCTCAGGGGTCAGTCACCAACCTATAGGGTTGCTCCAAGAGTAAAGAGAACATTTTTCCCCCAGGCAATACACTCTGCATAGCTGGAAGTGAAATGCAGCTGAGCTAATTATGTTGATAGTTGCCTAATGTACGGGTTATGATATTGTTTGCCCACTCAGGGATGACTGTGATGGATGTGTTTTTATTAATTGCAACATAAATAATATTGTTCAGTACATCTGGTATTTCTTTGTCAGTATTCCAAGATCAGCAAACACATGACTTGCTCAATCACAGATTCATACTCTGCAAAACTGGTACTTTCCTGAACGCTCCCGCCTCCTCACTGTGGTTTGTTACAGTTGAAAGAGAACACAAGACTTTAGATGGTCACAGCTTTTTGGTGAGGTTTCAATGAAAAAATGAAAGCTTTGTCTCCATATGCAGGTCTTGGCATCATCTTACACTGTTGATTTCCTTGCTTACTTGTAAATTAAAGGCTAGGATGGGATTCCCCTCACTTAAGTTAGACTTCTGGAAACTGAATGTTTGAGTCCAACTGTGTCCCTCGTGGCTGTCTTTCTAGTCAGTGGAGAAAAAGAGGCATTTGTGGAATTTGTGGGAGGGCAAGAAAGGGGGGGAAGTGAGCGAACGAATTACCTGACTGGGTTTAAACCACGACAACCTCATAGACATCTGCAGAGGACAGTTTGTCTGACCCACTTCTGCTGGGATGTCTGACTTGTAGGCTCCTAAGGCTGAGTGAGATGGATCCCCAGCAAGTTGTACGTGGTTGAATAAAACAGGTTTGAGCATGTCCATATTCATGTCTGGGACTAAAGTGGAAGTGGGAGGTCCTGCCCTACACACTTTAAAATCTCATTGGAATCAAATGACCCTAGCGGGCAGGCAGGTTATGTGATGAAGAGAAGAGAAACTTTTTACAAAGAAGTAAAACCAGTACCTGCTATCCTACTCACATTAGTCTGTCAAGTAGGAGCCACACTTTAGAAACATGGAGTGAAATCCTGGCTTTGCTGCAGCAATGTCAATACTAGCAAGACTTAGAGAGGACCTGAAATCAGCAGCCCTTCTTGGTAGAAGCCTTGCCAGAAGGCATCATAAAAGTCCACTTTTTTTCCCACACATTTGGCCCTGAAGGCTCTAAGGCCATCCAGTTCCTGCAAAACATTCCCGCAGTTTTGAGGGAATGGAGGTAGATGCATGTGCAGCAGTGTTTGGCCCTGGTTTATGCTCTTTGAAGCCCTGCTGAGACTGTTGGGACAGAGTCAGGGCTCTTTACCTCTGGGCTAATTCTGGTGACCTGACAGCATGTCTGCACTTGATTTGAGTTCTCTGTAAAACTGCAAGGCACAGCAAACATGCTGAGGCTTCCAAATGGAAAGAGCTCTGGGTGTGTCATTAACAGACCATTATTCTGACGCTTTTATGAACATCTTGTTCCAGCTTAGCATCTTTCAAAGGGCCAGGCTTGCTTTTTAAGCCAGGTTTTCTATGTCCTGCTGCAGTGTAGCAACAACAGGAGGGAAACAGCTCTCCCAAACAGTTCTCCCCAACCTGCCTTGGCACTCAGCAAGAGAGTCATAAGGTGGTAAATTCTTTGCTTCAGCTTCAATTATTAAGACACACATACTTAACTCAGAGAGAAGTGTTGTGCTTGTAAACCTGTCCATAACTGTCTTTTACCTGAGGATGTCAAAGTATATCAGACAGAAGACATGAAGTTCTGTGCTGGTGTGTGCATGTGATTGCGTTACATGCAAAGGATGGAAGATTATGAGCAAAATTTTAACAGTGGTACTTGCTTATGGGTGGCACACACACTGGGGAAGCTGCAGCATGCCCCACTCAGAGTTGACTTGGGGTCTGCAGTCCATCTAACAATCAATTCTTGGTGTTTACTGGTGACTTCGTGTCTTCTGGAGGTGCCTAGGCAGGCGAGAACGTTGGCTAAAGGTATGGCTGTGGAACTGGGGACATCTGATGTGGCCTTCTTTGACTCCAAATCCCCACAGTCATCGCACCTTTCCACCTTTCTTGCCTGAGACATAATGTGCAGGTCTGCATGGGAACTTTGGTTATGTTACTGTTAGGTTACAGATTATTTTGTTTCTTTGGTCTGTTATATGGGAAGGGGTCAGACAGTCTGGGCTGCAGATGCAAGTCTAGATGTCAGCACAAAGCACAGAGACCAGGGTTTGGTCAGAGCTCAGAGCTATCTATGTCCCTTAACGTATGGTTCATTGGCATTTGTGGCTGCCCATCTGCTTTGTCGGTGGTGAGGAGAGAAAACTTTTGCCTTTTTTCCAAGCAAACAGATCTCTGTTTTTCTTTTGCAAAATTGCTTCAAACAGGGCAATGACTTTAACAGTAATTAAACGCAGGAGTCACAAGCCACCCGCGGTATAAAATCAGAGGAGAATGTGGCTATGAGAATGAGAATAAACTATTGCTGACTTTGACCCAAAATGCCAGACCCAGAGACTGAAATAAGATGCAAATTCCAATGAACCACGTCTTGGGTTTCTGTTTTGAACACTGTCACTCTGATTATTACTTATCAGAAGCTGTTCAGCTCCTAGCCTCTCGATAAACAGGGCAACTAAAGTTTAAAGCTGTTAGATGATCTCCAAGATAACACAGTGCACACTTGACATGTAATTATGACCTTTGGATGTACAAATTCCTGTTTTCCTCCCCGGTAAGGTGGCCAGAGACAGTGTGCAGTTCCCTCTAGTGGTTGTACCAGAAGGGTTTTCATTCAATGCTTTTAAGAGCTGGTATCACTACTCAAAAAGATTTGTGAGCATATGACAGATTGATGATATCTTCAGCAGTGATCTGTGTCTTTGTGTAGTTTATCCTCTGTCTCTAAACCAGATTATAGGACCTGATGGGCAGCTACTGTTTGTGTGTACAGAAAGTAGCACAGTATTTATTTTAATCTGAATGTCTCATGTCTGCTTTTATTTAAAGAGTGCTAAGTGCTTTTCCTCTGTCTTCTCTGATATTTATTAGACAATCTAATACTTTGTCTCCCATTCCTCCCTCCATAAAATGAATGTCTGCTTTTCCGTAAGTACTAGACCTTATTAATCTGTGTCCTATAACGGAAGAATGCAAAAGTCTATTTAAATTTGAATCATTAACTCGCTCAAGAAAAATCTGTTTCTTGGGCATTGCTGAAAAGTAGAAATGAACAGAAAGCAGACAGAAACTCCTACTTAATGGCTCATGATTACTGCAGAACACTGGAAATAAATTTCACTTCACTTCTATCTTAAAAATCCCAGGAAAAGGACAACTGTTGCTTGAGCTCATCTCTTTCTAAGTTGTTTGGTAAGCCAAGACATCTGAGTTTCTGTGAATTTGTGCCACTTTTGGGGACCCTTTCACAGCCAAGGGATTAACACTCTGGTACAGATTTCCTCTTGATGGAAGCAAAAAAGGGATCTTTTACCCCAACCTGGCTGGCTGTTTTGCCAAAACTTGTGTGAACTTAATGCTGTGTGAATTTTTGTCTGTGTCAAGCTCAGCTGAGATCAGCCACTGGCTCTGGGAGTTATTAATACAGAATACATAAGAAATGTATATATAAAATATATAAACACAGAGGCTGAGTGATGAAAACTTTTTCCCTTAAGAAATCATGCTAAAAACTGCTTTTCTTAACCAGGTGGAAAAAAGTGCAGGAAGTAAATATCCTGAAAAGCAAACACTTAAAACACTTTGCTACTTTAATTCCAGACTTTCCCACATTCAGTTTAGTGTTAGAAATGGAGCTGCTAAGTGAACATTGCTCTTTAAAAGAAGTAGGGACACAATTTCATTTCAAGTTCAGAACTGACAGTGGCATCTTTGTAAATAACATATTTAATAAAGCATGCCTGGGCAATAAAAGCATATCTTTAGTGTTACCTTTTTTCCCAGTCAGCATCTGGAAGAATTCAGGGCACTGAGCATTGACAGTCTGTCCCACAGCGGATGAAGGCCAGCAGCTCATATTATCCCACATTCCGGCACATCTAACTGAGAGGGCAAGAGGAAAACACCATGCAGCATTTCCAAGTTATGAAACACCATGAAACTTCTCCCAGCAATAAAGCACAATGTAACAAGCAACAAAGCACGAGACAGCATCTCTCAGGGACCAAGGCAGCTACAGGAACAAAGATGATGAGTACTCTGAACAGTGGAGTACCTGGATGACACAGAGCAAGACCTGCTGAAACCTGTTGACACCTTGATAGGGCAGAACAGGTCTTGCTTGCTTCAATCACCACCACCCCCCCCACCCCCCCCCCAGCAAGCTGTAGGCCTGTCCCATTCTGGTCCTTGAGTCCACTGATACATACTAGCCAGACAAAGAGCAACTTGGGTCATTGTGATCTTTTTATCAGCCCCTTGACTATCCATCTGTCTTCTAGTAACTATTGAATGGCCCTGGAAAGATGAAGGAAACCAGATGTGAACTTTTTAGCTCATTTTTCAGTCTTTCTAAAGCTTCCACATCTTTTTTCATGTGAAGCTTTCTAAAGCTTCCACATATGTTTTCTTTAGATAATCCTTCTGTAAACAAAAAAAGGTATAACTTGACTAAGAGTTTAAACAGCTTCAGAATGATACTGGGGAAAGGGCAGAGAGGAACAGTATCAATGCTATCCTTTTATCACCATAAATACCACTCTGCTTGTTCATCTCTTTCATTATGCCAAGACTGTGTTGAAATGAATAATGCCAACAGTCTGGGCTTGGCTGCAGGGCTCAATGGCTTTTCTACTGCAGGAGAGCAAAGCTTGGCCAAACTTTGTCAGTCCTTGGGACTCTAAAGGGAAGGAATTCACATTTGCAGGCCAGGGCAAAATACAGATATACACCAATATTCTGGCAAAACCTGCCCATACAGTATTTCTGTCCAAGGCCAGACCTCTGATAGTATGACATAGCTGCTGGACCCATCTCAGAGCAGCCATTGAACCTAGAGCCCTGCTGGGCTCTGCAGGCACGATCCTGTGGCTCCCTTGGCCTCCTGCACTTTCTGCCAGCTGAGGCCTCTAGCAGCTGCAGGGACTGGCTGACACTGCTCAGATTCACTGCATTTTCCCCAGCCAAGGCTGGCCTTGTTGTGTGTGATCCCCCTTCTACAGTCAGGGTGCAAGGGAGCCTTTGTGTGCCCTTGGCTTGGCTCTGCTGCCTTTTAGCAGGACTGGTAGAGATGCATCAGGCAACTGGTGGTCAGTGGAGCACAGCATGATGGTGATCTCAACTTTGACATCTTCCTTAGGTGCTACAAGCTGGAAGAGGTAAATTTTGGTCTGTGGTGCAGAGTGTTAATAGGGAAGACCTACAGCTGATGTCCTTTGTGCTACAAACTGCAATCCTGGCCTTTCTTATTTTGTTCTTCTCCAGACATAGTCTGAAATCTAGACTAGGTCCTTGTTGCCTCTGCTCACTGTCCTTGGTTTTAGCAAAGCCGTCTTTGTGTGGTTTGTACCATGACAGGGAAAAGAGAGGCCACTGAGGCATACAAGGACCACCCTATGCCTGGCAGGTCCTGTTGTGTGCCAAATACCCTGCACACTCACTGAAAGCAGAGGGGAGAAAGTGCTGAATGCTGTCTTCAAACACGTCATGCTTTACAAGGCCAGCCTCCATTATCCCAACAAAGATATTTACATTTCTAGAAGCATATTGATATCCTCCTGCACAGCAGTCCTAGTGCCTGAAAATACAGAGCTTTTCACAGCCAGGACACTTCAGCTCCAGTGCCCTCCCTCTGCCTGCCTCCTTCTGACTTCACGGGCATAAAGTCCCCAAATCAGACTCAGTGCACAGAAATACCTGGAAAAATTGGTGTTGGGATGGTCTCCTCCAATAATGCACCAATTTTCAGGTGCATTATTTCCCAGAATTACTTCATAATTCACCAAGGTAACAAGTCCTCCTTGAGCAATGACCAGCAAAAGGAAATTCCTGGGCTCTTTCTTTGAGAACCATTACTTGGGGAAAGATGTACATCTTACCATTGTTTATTCCTCTGGGGTTTCACTGCCAGGAGGTGTGTTTGCAGAGTTACAGAGACAGGGAGGGGCATAGTCATTCTGGCCACTTTCAGCTTAAAGCCTTCTGCCATGTGGGTATCCCTGAGCTCATGGCAGTATGCTTTGTTTAATCTGCCTTATAATATTAAAAGAGCAATTTTGACAGCCACTGGAAATGCTTTCTCAAAAATTTAACAAATCTGATAGTTTTAACTTCTCTTTCTCTAGATTTTGGGAGAGTGGGCACAGAAGGTAGAATTATTTGACTGAACTAAAACAAACCCCTGCTAATTTATGCTAGTGCTGGTCCGCACCTGCACAGTCCTGTGAAGTTTAGTTTGTTTGCATCCTTGTCCAAGGTGAGAAGAATTGAAAATCCTCTGCAATATGTAAGATTTTGTTGCTGATGTGCTCTCTAGCTGTGAGGACTGCAGCTGAGCATCTGAGTTAGCTCCTACATCTATTGCTGTCACAGTAAGCTCAAAATCCCACTCTGGGAGCCTTATAATAGATCTTACCCATTTTTCTGCTCCAAAATGAGAGATGCGTACAAGGTGCATGCTTCCTTTGGGAAGGAGTGTGGGGTTATCTGATTTTGAGGCCATCTAGCTCATCTGAAAGCACTTTTTGCCATACACATGCATTCAGCCTTTACCTGAGCTCAGGAGCAGATCATTTTCTGTCGTTGTGTTCTTTGCCTCCAGGGAGAGAGTCTTAGCACAGTTTTCTTCCTCTCTTTTCAGGACACTCAGGAGGTCACAGACAGGTGGGACAGCTCTGATCTGCAAATTTTAAAAGCATTGGAATCACTTTTTTCTCTTAAAACTCACATCCCTTCAGCAGGGTTTGCTGTTCTTATGCTCATGCTCCCTATGCAACCCTATCAACTGATTCTAGGCAGTATTTCTGGGCAATTGAAATACAGTCATTTTTCCTAAGTAAGTCTGCTTTTTTTTTATAGTAGCAGCAGGCAAGCACAGATTGAGTTTCTGCCTTGTCTCTTTTGCTGACATTACTGTTATGGAGAAAGATGTGTTATTCTGCTAAATTAAGTACATGAGCAGGATGCTCCTCCAGAAGACTGGAGAGACATCTAAGGCACTGCTGGATTCTCCTAGAGCAACAAAGAATTAATTACTTGCTCCTGGCAGCATTATAAATAGACCTGGTGGGTCATTTTTCCAGGCACAAGTGATCCAAATATGTCCACGGGTTGCAGACCACCAAAGCCTGTTTCACTGCTACTGATCAGGAAGCTGCAGGAGCCAACCTGAAAACAAAATCTCACCCATATTTTTGTGAGAACGTAGGTAGCAATTTGTCCTAAGGTAATTTTTTCACCTACCCATCTTGCCTCATCCTCCTTTCTCACAAACTGGTGTAGGAAATGTTAGTCTTAACTTAATCCTGATGTAGTAATTAAATGTGCAGTTTATGCTATATGTAGCTGGACCAAAACGAATGCAAAAAATAGCTACCAACCATTAAAATGTCATATATTAAAAAAATCATTTGCAGGACAAGCTCCCTGTTGTCTTGCAGTCTTGCAGTAAAAAAAGTACTTTCACCATTTCTGTTATGTTACTAGTTTCTGTTATTTTTGACAATAAAAATACTGAATATAAGCAGGTTCTCATTATAACAAGTGAGATGATTCCTCCCTCATGAGCTAACCCAAAAATCTTTATAAATTCCCACTGTGGAACTTACATGTACACACACATATAGATGCATACGTGTATATGCACACATGCTTAAAACATTAAAAACAATTCACCAGGATATATTATTTGAAAAGTATCAATTAGAATTTTTTAATGTACTTGGTGTGGAAAAGTCAATCCAGCAGCATCATATTACTACTCAACATACTCAATCTTGTAGCATTGCTGATCACTTCCAGATTAGATTTAAGAGACAGAATGATCTCTGAAAACCTTGTAATGAGAACTATTGCTTTTCTAAAATTACATTTTAGCCCTACAGACATTTTGGCTGGAATTATTCTGGGTATTGTATTTCTGAACAAAGTCTGATCTTTTCAGCAGTGTATCATGCATCATCTCCTCAGTTGGTTGTATTTTACTTGATGATCTTTCTTCCTCGGCTTTGTGTGTCATGAAATAACTAAACTAAAAGATATTTAGTAATGATAATGTATTACCATTAATGTAATGAATTTTTTGGAATCACACATGCAAAGAATTCAGGAGAAATAAGCTATCTTCCAACACCAGGATTTAAATGTTTTTTAATTCTTGTATTATTTGAAGAAATTAGATTTTAAAAATCCATTTAATCTTAATAAAAATAGAAATATCTGACTGGAGCAACATGTCTAAAGACATGTAATTGCATTTAGTAGTTCCAGTTGTTAGCTGAAGGCTGAATTTGATAATTCCTAAAAATGGACAGATTTTTTAATTGTACATTGTCACTCTCTATTTTTATGTATTTTATTACCAATAGTAAAGTAATTGAGTACATTTTCAGAGTTCAAAAGTACAAATGTGCCAGTTAAGACCTACAAGATACTTCTGTGGTATCTCTGCCCAAAAGTTGCCTTGAAAATACATTAAAAACAATATTAGTGCTGAGCATTTGAAGTGGCCAACAGAACCGGTCTGGTTTGTACACTGGTTATTCAAGATGATACTAACATATGTGAAAATAAATGTTAGCAATCTCATTAGTAACACTCTCAGAAACAGGAAAATTCTTCATCTTAAATAAGCCTATACATCTTTTGGGCACCATTTTATTTTGAGGAACGTAGGTCCTAAGAAAGCTTTCATTCTAGAAAGAGATTTAAAGCCTATGTTATTTCTCTACAACTAGAATGAGGCTACAGGCTTTTAGCACATTCATGTGGGAAGACCACACTGCTGATCTGATACAGCATTATTTTCTTACATAAAATGTTTTGTTCAAGAAGGAATATGGTATAGTTAATGTCTTACAATTACTGTTTTACCCTGCCAAGTGATGGACATGCCATTCTCCTGATCAGATAAATACTACTGTCAGTTAAAAGATGTGTGGGTAACAGGATTTTAAACCCAAAGAAAGCAGTGAGCCCCCAGGTGCTGATTTAAAGACCTTGTTTTCCACAAGCATAGTCCCTCAGTCAGTCTTTGCCAATGTTGGCATCTGATGGGGCAGGCTGGGTATAAGTGGGGGAATTGCAGGTCCAGCATGGCTGTTTTCTGAGCAATCCAAAATCCCACTTCCTACACCACGGGCAGATAACCCCGCTCTGCTACTGATTATACTCAGTGTTGCTCCTATTACTGTCCACAACTGGGAGCAAGCAGTCTGTCCCTGAACCTTGAAATCAAAGATGTAAATGGGCTCTTTTGCATGCAGCTTCTTGGTCTCTTCCTAAACAGTTCACTGAAAGAGCTCCCAGCTCACAGGCTATCAGATTTTGATGAGAGGGTAAGACAACCTTCTCTTTTGTTTAAACACAATATCAGATACCAGAACCATTTCACATAGAAATAGCTGTGATTACTAGCTATCTAGATAACTAGAATGGTCAGAAAGCTGCAGTTTGTGATATTGATAGCAACAATCAACTACAGCTTTTAACCTGTGAAATGAATATTCTGATATAAATAATATTTACAGCCACAGAATTCACAGATATTTAATTTGAATATAAGTGGGTTTAGTTTAATGAAAGGATTTAAAGGAGAATAAAAGATGCCTGGCAAGATCAAAATACATATTTTTAAGGATTAGAAAACAACAAGTGGAAAGAGATGCTTTCAGTGGCACCTTGAACAATCATATCTGTTTATAGAGTTCATTAGGTAGTACCTAACTATAAGAAAGCAAAATGACAAGAAAACCATAAAAGTCAGTATTCTTATTGTGGAAGAAAATCAAAAAGCAAAATGTTTGCAGGTTGCATTTATTATGTAATTAAAATGTCTAGATAAAGCTCAGGTTTTCTCAGAGTATGAACCAAATCCCCTGCTGGGACAAACAGAATGATTTTTACAGTAGTTGTAATGAAACAGTAATTTTTTGCATTTGACGAGAGTTTGATCCTTTCCCAACATCTCACACCCAAGCTGGATGTATTTCAGTTTTAGTTTTGTATGCTTTCAAAATCTGAATAAGCTGAGCAGCTCCTGGAGATCACAGCCCAGGTTCTGCTGTCCCTGTGGACGAGTCAGAGCTCAGCAGTGAAAATTTGCCAGTAAACATCCTAATAAAGTGATAAAGCTAAAAAGAAGAAACCAAACTTTGTGGGTCAAACACTGCTTTGCATTCTTTCATTCTGAGTCAACTTAGCCATTGGTAGTGTTGCATTCCCCTTTAGGGGATTGCTTGCTGGTGTAAATCAGCAAAGTTTTTCTAAATAACATAAAATCTTTTCTTTATCACAGAACTTACTATGTTTACCAAAACACGTTAGTAATACTGTTGTTTAAATAGGTCAGGAAACTGAGGCATCCAGCATCCAGCCATCTGGTCTCTGTCAATTTGTGCAGGAAGCAGCTGAAGTGAGAATAAAATAAAAAATATTCCAGCTTCTACACAGACCTTTTTAAACAAAGACAACACAACTTCACAGAATACAGATGCACTTACTCATATGACAGGTGATTCCATGCAATTGAGAATAAATAGCTCTGAACACTTACCAGGACAGCTGAAATCCAGAAGATGATCACCCAGATGGTCCACATCGTCAATCACAGATTGTTTCCTTCATCCCTCACACACCAGAGGACACTGGGCTGTCTGTATGCTCTGCAGCGTGGCTCCTAGCTTCTTTCACTTCATCCCTTTCCCTCCTTCCTTTTTTAATGTCCCGGCTCTGACCATCCTTAGCCAATGTTTCTCTCCAGCTGCTGAGCCCTAGAGAGCATCAGCAGTGACAGCACCCTTCCCTGTTCCCCCCCCCCCCCCCCAAACTCTCCTCCTCTGCAGAAGCCTCCTGTCCCAAGAATAACAGCACCTCTGTTGAGCATGTCCCTACTATCGCCTTCCTCCCTTCCTGGCTATTATTCACTGTTATCGACGGGTGTTGCTGGGGAATGGCCATTCCTCATGCTCCCATGATAAGGGACCGAGCAGGACACCCATGTAAGATGTCAGCCCCACAATGGCAGAGATAATAAATCAAGAGGAAATACAGCCCTGGAATAAGTGCCCTGCTGAGAAACAGAGTTGGAGGAATGTGATTAAGGCTGTCTGCACTGCTTCTGCTCTCAACAGCACTGCACATGCCTCCCACAGTGAGCACACATCCCTGAGAGCCAGAAATGAGGAGGTGGGCAGAGCCTGCTGCAGGTGAGCTGGCTACCTGCGCCTTTCACAAAGCCCAGGCAAGCAGAGCTGTTGGAGCTGAAGATGACCTTGAGTGTGGGCTAAGCACCAGGGAAAGGGCAAATGGAGGGTTTGCTTTTCCCACCCATGCCAAAGAGGACTATAAGTGTTCCCTGGACTTCACCCTCTCATACAACATCCAGAGAAACAGCAAGTCTACATTTTGTCCTGATGCTATAGGTTGCAAGCTGTCATCATGTTTGGATCTCTGTGTTACCTTGTTAGTGGGAGGGAGATTTCAGCTATCCTGGGTTCCCCTTAGGCAGTTCCTCAGCAATTCCCTTCCCTGGCATCACAGCACTCTTTGTTTTTCCAGATTTTGTTTCTGTGGCAAAACTATTATAAAGGGGCTGTGTGCTTACCCTGGTTGTGGGGTCCCACCTTGTTAGGTTCACTTGTGGCACAATAATGAGTATGGCTTCAATAAAGTGCCAAAGTTTACACATGCACTAGTACTCTTTCTCTCTTTCACTGCTGTTCTTTGCTTGCCTTGAAACATCTTCTGGCGTCTATTCCAATTTACCAGTGCCCATCATCCCAGACAGGTCGGATAAGAGGAGAAGCTGTCCAGAACGCAGGTGTGCTCCAGATCTACCAGTAAAGTCAACAACTATGGCCATAAAACATATAGTTTGTTACCTGTGCACTGAAAATTCAGCCATTGGATTAAGGAAGTTACTCACTGAAGAGCACAATGAAGGAATCCAGTTTCCTTTTCCATACCCACTCTGACCACAGTAACTCTAACTCATCTCTATACATGCTCCTTAGGACTGCTGAATTGCAATGCTCCCTATTTCCCCACACACCACCCTAACCTCTCTCCTGTCGTGGTTTAACCAGGACATCCCCACATCCCTAGAGCAGGAGTAATTGGCAGCATTTGCTCTAACTCCACACTACGTCTGTCCCAATTTGCCCTTTTGCATGTGCTAGCTGCCCAGCTGCCATGCTCACACAGCATCATTTCCCCTGAAAAGGGCAAATATTTCAGTCTTCCTTGCCCCCGTCCACACTAAACTTGTAGTAACTTTCATTTCTTGAAGAGCAATGTTTTTCCACAAACTTTGTTTGAAACTGGTTGAAGGATTAAACAAATTGTTAAAAGGGGGTCTGAGAGGCAGCCAGACAATGCCATTACAGTACTCTGAAGAAACCACGCTGGCAATGCTGCATTATCTCAGTGGGGTGCCAAGTCATTCTCTCTCTTCCTTTGGCTGAAGGAATATTTTATTATTCCATTCATATTGTAACAGCTTCCCCTGAAAACCACCACTCCTCCTCATGTTTGTGTGTGTAATCGAGGGAGCTTTGTCCCTGAATATACTTCAGAATGTGGGGCATTTTCTGAAACAGGCAATGGAGCTTTGGAGATGATGTTAGATTTAAACACCAATGGTGTGAATGAAGAGGCAGTATTTTCTGACCCTCTCATTACACTCATGTGCAGGCTGAGTATTTGAAAGAAACTGGATGCAAAATTAAACCTGGAAAATTCTTACCTGTGTAAATCATTGCTTGACTCACAGTGCAGCAGAAGTCAGCACAGTGGGACAGATGCCACGGGTTGGGAAACCTAACAGCAGCAGCAGACTACAGAGAATTATTACCAAGAATTCACATAGACTGAAATAGGGCGCTTGTCTAATTGAACAACTTAGCATTGCACTTGGCTGTGTGCATCTACTTTTATTGCCACACAAAAAAAATGTAGCATTTTGCAGGGACACCACCCCTTGGGCCAGGGAGCCCTCTTCAGGCAGCCCAGTCACCACCACGACCATCATCATCATCAGTTATCACTATCACTATCATAATCGAATGGTTTGGGTTGGAAGGGACCTTAAAGATCATTTAGTTCTATCCCTCTGCCACAGGCAGAGACACCTTCCACTAAACCAGGTTGCTCTAAGCCCCATCCAGCCTGGCCTTGAACACTGCCAGGGATGGGGCAGTGCAGTAGTCCCCTGTGAGAACTCTCCAGCAGATCCATTCTGCAAGAGAAAAGATTGTCAAACCATCTCCCCAGCTTGTTGGGTGGAGAATAAACTGTCTGCCTTAGTCTGTTTACCCAGCTGAGGTGATGGATGGTTTGGAACGGTGCTAGCTTACTTTTGCCCCCACTGTTTGAAATGGTCAAATCTCCACCAGAGGCAGACAGCTATGCACATGGAGCTATGAGGAAGAGGTGCAAGCACGCAGGAAAGGAAGGCTGAGACAGGAGTTTTGGCAGGCAAGAGATGTTTCAGGTACCTTTCTGAGGGGTGACTTTCCTTTAGAGTGATGTAGCACATTGGGCACACGCAGATGTGAGGTGAGAACCAGCTCTGACAGACAACATGCTGTGAAATGGTGGGGTAGTGGCTGTGGCAGCTCATGCAAAGGCACTGTACAAGCAGATCCTGAACTTTCTCCTAAGCCCATTTTGAATGCTGTCATCACTGGTCATCTCTCCCCAGCCTTATCAAGGGTGCAGGTGTTATTCTTTCCTAATCAACAGCAATTACATTTTACTACATATGGGAATCACTTTCAGGGACATGAATTTTATGACATGAAGTTTTTCTTCATTCCTTTTTTATTTAAATTGAGCGTTGCACTACTTTTGATCACATTCTACCTCCATGTTATAAAGCTGAAAGAGAATAATTTTATTTATTCTTAGATAATAATTTTCTTTATTCTTAGTCTTGCCAATCTGTCTGTGCTTTCCCGTGTCATCTGTATATGTAAATGTGAAATAAGCTGTGGGTGGTAAGAGCAATACAATGACAAAATGGTGTCAGGGATATGCTTCACAGGACGGCTTTTTACTACTGAAAAGTGAGAATGTATAGGTTGTGGGAAGAAGAGATGGTCTCTTTTAAAATACTGTAATAAAACTTTCCAGGTCTGTTTTGAGCCAATGCAGCCCCGACAGACACTGCACAATGCAAGCTGGCTTTGTATCACCTCACCTCAGAGAAGCAGCTTTATCTGAGCTTATCAAGGAAAAACAATTTCTGGGTTTTAAGGAATGATGATTTTTTTAAAAGAATGATGCCACACTGTGGATCCTGAAAACGACTCTTACTACGAAAAAAAAAAGTGGGTTCGTTTTTATTTTTTGTGCTTTTGCGATCAAAGCCAGCTGAACTGCAGCTGACGGGATCTCCCCCCTTGCCCCGAATGGGCGCACTCGAGCACCGCGAGTCGCCCCAGCACTTACCACCCCCTCCAACAGCGAGTGGTGCGGTCCAGTTGGGCTGCACGGTTGCCTGGCAACCGGAGCTGCGCGGCGCGGTGCTGAGGTGAGGTCTGGGCCGGGCTGGGCCTGGTCGCGGGCAGGGCATCGGGCTGGCTGCCGGGCCGGCGGGAGACTCTGTGAGGAGGGGAGCGGGGTCAGCAAGGGCTCCCTCCGGGCCGGGAAAACGAGTAGGGCAGAAGCGCGGATTGTTTCAGTCTCCGTCTCGGCTTGGTGCTTCCCTCGCAGTGCCGGAAAGAAGGTGGGGCGGGACGTCCAGCTCCCCGCCGACAGCGCTGGAGGTTGAGGCGGATGTGGCACTGGCAGGGAGCCTGTTGGGGAGCTCTAAGCCCTTCTGCCCGCTAAGCAACTCTCCTAGCCTAATTGCATAGAGTAGACCTCAAAAGCGCGTTTTGTGTTGCTCACAAAGCTCGTCGATGCTTTTGCAAGTCTCACTCAGTATGTAATGGCGTTAAACTGCACCCCTTTCTGGTGGTGAGGTGTGCTAGGAGCTCTGAGACACCGAGGGATTAGAAAACCCAAGTGCTGACAGAAGAAGAGTGTTACCCAGGCCTGAGGGCATTTAGGGTGAGTTTGGCTACTGCCTCCAAGGCAACCGGGATTGTACAGGATTCTCCTTTGGGGGACTTCGCACAAAAAAAAAACTTTTTGTTAAGGATAGACACAAGTATCTGAAAAATTTAAGATCATCACTCTATCACTCAAAGATTCCAGGACCTTGGCAAGTAAACATTCATCCATTATTCTCCTTTTGAGGAATACTGCAGTGTGTTATTAAAGTTGGTGAGTGGATGGTGCCATCCCTTTAAATTACAGTTTAGATTACACCAGGAATCCTTTGCTAATATAAGTCTGTCTACAGCTTTTCAAAAGCTGTATTCCTGATGGGGAGTGCTAACCAAGAGAAGGAGGGTGGCAGTCATACAGGTTGAAGTTGAACAACGCAAGTGGAAAGAATGTAAACCTCGTGCTTAGAATTTGTTTTAGCATGGTTTCGTCCGAGTTTGGTTGGTGTCACTACCTCAGCAGAAATTTACTGTTGTGCAAAATACAGTTCCTCTTGCAAATCTTCTGTTGCAAATGAAAAATTTGTACTTGGAGGCATAGAGTGGAAAATATTCTTGAGGGCAGGGTTCTGGTAGCACATTATTTTAAGCTTCTTATTTATTATTTAGTACTGCACAAGACCATAAATCAAAGCTGCACTTTATGAGTTTGAAGCACCTCTCAACTTCTGAAAGATCTAAAACAGGCTAGAAAACCAGACAAATGCTGGAGATGAGACCATAAAATGAATCAGGGAAGGTGGACCTCTTCAGTCCTCAGAAGTCTTGATCCAGGTATGCTGGGCATCACTTTAGTTCTCCCTTCTGCCCTTCTTCCCTTAAACTTTTAATGATCAGTGTTAATTTTAAGTTGGGGGCCTTCAAGGTCATTCAAGCATTAGGTGAGTTCAGTTGCCCGTTGATATTAATTCAGCACCATCCTGAGCTGCACACCCACCTTCTCTTCATGAAAAACAAAGACAAAATGAAGAGGTTTCAACCCCCTTCTTAAGGGCTGAAAAGGTCAGCATGGCTTTTGAACATGCTTTTTCCAAAAATAAGTTCTTTGGTTCATGGGAGAGCTAAGACCTATATGCTATTTTTATGAAGATAATTTCTTGTGGGTAGGTTGTGCCTGGTTTCCTTATTGCGTATTTGCACTTGTCTTTAGAGAAGTTTATGTTCTGGTAACTATGCTTACTTAACACAGGTTCTGTAATAACCAGGCCTTCTGGATTTACAGTTATCTTCATTAAATAACCCAGATGATGCTGTCCAAACAAAAGATTCAGATGCCAATATTCTTACCCCTCATATTAATATTTAAAAATAAAAAATAAATCCCATGTTAACAACCCAAGCACTCATGAGAGATTGGAAGAATATTTCTGTAGAAATCAGTCTGGATAGCAGGTTTATCAGAAGAACCTTATCTCGTTTTCTGTGATGGGAGATGTGAAGGAAGAGAGAGATGTTTTACACAGTCCTGAAAGGCAAATGTCCCTGATAAGCCTTAGAACATGCCCAAAGTGCTAGGGCTTGCAGTGGGAGCAATGTTTCATGGAATCACTCAGTCCTTGTACTTAGTACACACAGAGAAACCTACTTCAGTAGGAAAGAAAGTAACTCCCTATCCTAGTGTCTTTAGGCAGGTTTAGGTAACAAATGCTATCAGAGCAAGGGAAGACATTTTGATCATTATGTTATTTTGATTTTACCCCAGGTCCTGAGGAAACTGACTCCATTTCTGTCCAACATGGATGTAGTTCAATCAGCCTCGACAGAAATCATGATTGCTGAAAAATCCTTCAAGAAAATACCCAGTGTCCTTCTGGACAGCCTAGTGGAGGAACCTAAAAAAAGACATGCTGTTCCCCATCACCTTCTGGAAACAAGTAAGTTTCTGCTCTCTGACTGTTTCCCAACCTTGGAGCAATTCAAGGAGACACTTTGTTATTATTATATTTTTTTTGTAACTCATAAGCAAAACTCCCATCCTGCTGCTTAAATTGTGTCTCCTGTGAGCCCAAATCATAGGATAGATAGTCAGAATGATTAGAAAGAAATAAATAGTGGCTGTGAGGATTCTGGATGACCCTCACATTTTGGGGAGGCTTGTTGAAGTCATGATGATAGGAGGAAACTCAGACAGAATCATGACTCTGCTGGGGTAATAGATGCTGCCTTAACTTTCCATTTAAAGAGTCATGCCTACTTACAGGAGAAATAATCCGTTTTTTTTTTTCTCTATAATACATTGGGTGCAGCATAAAATGTTTTATCAACATAAGTAACATCATGTGCATTTCATCTGGTGTCCTTTTCTCCTTGTTTTATCTTCTATCGCTATAGGAATTTATTCGGAACATCACGGGAGCAAAGTTGTACAGGCTGAGCCTGCTGTGTTACACTATGGAGGGTATGAAGTTGGAAAACATCACCAACAGACACTTGTAAGTGTCCGAGCAGGGATCCTCTTGGGGCACATAAAAGGATAACATAAGCTGAGTAGACTGCTTGTGGTTGTGAGGCCTTTTGCCCTCTAGACTGCTCTAAAAAGCAGCACTTAAAATGAGTGGCCCTGCGGTAACGAAACAGATGAGTACCATGCTCTGTGTATCACTGTCCTTTACCTTTGTCTGTTCTACCTTTCTGCTTGCTGTGTCTGCAAGTACTGTTAGTGAATGTGACTTAGACGTCATGATTGAAGGATTCATTCTTGAACTCCGTAAGAGACTGTTCTCAAAATGTACTTGGGTTGTCATTGTGTCTGCAAACCTGTTCACTGGTGGGAAAATTCTGAACGCACCTCTGTTCTTCTGCCAAAAGCAATTTAATCTAAGGGAAGAAACAGTGCATGGGTTTGATTACCTTTCCTAGTTTGAGTATTTCCTTTACTTCTTTCTTCTTTCCCTTTCTTCTTTATTCATGTTGCTTTTTGAGGCAGAGGTTGGGTGATTATGGTGGACTAGGTTCTCCAGATATAATGAAAAAAAACAAGATGCAAGAGACTTTACAGGCTGAACTGACACCTTCCAACAGTTTGTTGCTTTGTGATGCAAAACGCACCCATGGAATATTACAAAATGTCTGTTGTTTCAGACCTGTGTAAAAGCGAAGTCAACAGGTTGTTTCATTTTTTGCACATAAGCAAAACAGGACCAGAATTTGATTCAACATCAGCACTGTCTTTAGCAAGACTGTTATTCCTAGGTAAGGAATTGGGACTTAGTTACAAAGACTCAAAAAGCAGGATGCAAATTTTACTTAATTTTCTTTTAAATTCAGAGCATATTCAGAATTATTTCTCCTAAAGTAAAAATTGTTACTTCTTTGCTATGGATAGTTTTACAAAAAGAACAGTTGGCATTCTCAGTTGACCTCATTGTAAAGTGTTCTGTGGTTTGTTTTCTTTTGTTCTACAGAAGCTAATAAATACTTCTGTTGATGTAATAAACCTTCACATAATACCACCGCAGACAAAGTATTTTCAGATCAAATACAACAAAACAGTAAGTGTCGGAAGGCCTTTACACTGCTCTTTGCATGCAGCACTGGTTTTGTGTCATATAAGCAGCTTTTTAAATTTTTTACTTCTGCCTTATTTTGGGTCATTTTCTAGTACCGGCTTGTCCCTGGCTTGTCGTATGTGGTTACTATCGATTTTTGTCCTGATGAGTGGCGGTACTACTACGACTGCATCAGAATTCACTGTCAGGTGAGGATTTATTATAAAATATATATATCGTTGTAATGGAATGAAACAACTATTAGGACATGATGATAAAGTAAAGGTACAGTTAATCTCCTAGAGCCTCATGGATTTATTCCCAGTAAGTCTGGATTGGAGTATTTCATTTTAAGCATTTAAAATTTTTCTCTCTGCAAACATCCCGAAGCTGTGGGTGGAATATCTTCCTTATTCTGTTATTCTTTGCCAGTAGTTCAGTCTTTGTACCACACTGATGTAATGTCTTAGTTGAACAGGCTTAGAGGAACTCTAGAGAGTTGCTGAAAGTATGGAAATACAGATGGATTCTGAAAGTGGGTAGAATATCAAAATCCTGAGGTGCAACACAGTGATGATCTCAAAAATGTTTTATGCCCACTTACTGGCCAACTGCTACAGAAACATTTTCTTTTCATAGCATTTATTCTTTGTAAGAAATAAGTATTTACCTCTTTTATTTTTATTTTTTATTTTTGCCCAGGGAGATGATACATTAGTTGTTCCTGTGCATGCTTACCCTGCTGTGAATGTTGTAGAATTTCCATCATTTATAAATCTGTCTGATGTGCCAATTGGTCAAAGGTGAGTTAAGGACAGACATCTGTCCACATGCACAAAATCTGCAATATCTCCTTTTTCTCTATTTGTACAACTTAATGTCTTGGAAGCTTTAAGGAAGTCAGCCTCCATCTGGACTGCAGAATAATTCTGTATATGAATAGTTTCAGGCACATGTTCACAGGAAAGTAAACGTTGTGCAAACTAAACATATACATAGATGTAACTGGGGTATCAGTTGATCTGAATCTGTGCTGACTCACTTCACTCGTCATATGTGAAGCAATATGGCTGCTGTTTGTAACCTGTACACTCCCAAGTGCTATGTCTTTTTAGCATTAATAAGCAAATGGATCTTCCTTTCAAGATGAAGTACTCTGGAAATGAAGTTATGGTAGGTGTAAGTGATAGCAAATAGCTAGCCTCATTCCAGATTTTGATCAGTCATTAGATTTGCTTCTTCTGTTTAAAAATAGTGATGTGATCTTTTGATGTGGAGCTCTAAATAGAAATTTCATCTTACTCTGTCTGTTGCAAAGATGTAACATAGAGTGTTCTCATGAAGTAATCATAGTAATTGCTAATAAGAACTGGGAAGGGGGAGAGGAGAAGGGAAATTCTGGTGATTAGGATATCGTTCTGTAGTATATTGGCTATATTAGTTGTAATTATGGTGGTACGTGTCGCTGTAAAGATGTGAGTGAAATCTAGGAACTGAAGGTCTTAGCAGCTAGAGTTTTTTTCTTAGCCTGTGAGTTGAAAGTAACTCATGAATTTTACTGAAGGATAGAAATAAGAACAGGCAAAGCACCTACAAGGAGCATGCAAAATTCTGCAGTAAAAATGAGCCCAGCATTGCAGAATGAACATTTGTGTCTTTGTTCATGTTTTTCTAGTCCCCCTTAATCTGCTAAACTCTAGTGAATATACCAAAAGTGATGTTACAGCTTTCTCACGGGGCTGGACATAACTCCGACTTTCTGGGTGTCTCTAGGCATGACGTGATTCTATTTATTTCCTACATTTTTACAAGTGTTGAAATATACAGAATTTTCGTACTCTCAGAATACAGAGAAGAGATTAGACAGAGTACAAAATACATTTTTAAAAAATGGGAAAATTTTTCAATGCAACAGGGATGGTCAGAGATGACCTGAGGGAATTTGGAATTGTTCCTGAAGAGAAAATTGATGGTTTCTCTTAAAACCTAAGGTTTTAAGGTAAAACCTTAACTTTCACCAGTACTTTTCATCATTAGTCTGTTAAAAACTTTCCTGAAAATGAAAGCTCTCTGAAATGCTTGGTACTATGCAGAGCTCAAGGGACTATGGGCTCAATCCGTAGCCCACTGAGATAAATGGAAAAACTGCCTTTTACTTCCAGTAAGTGTAGGGTAAGTCCTATGTTCTAACACCCAGCTTTCTCCTTAGGGACAGAAGGTCCATCATGCAACAGCCAGCATAACTGTCTTGGCTTTAAGGCATTTTGGTTACCGTACAAGCCACACTAAACCTTAAATTGCCTCCTCAGTCTGCTGTTGCATCTTCTACGTGAACAGGTCATATGGAAGCAGCGTAAAAAGCACTTTATTATTATAGTTTATTTCCTTAGGCATTTCAAAATGTGCTTTCCAAAGGAACAACTGTATAACATGCATTCTTTGCTAATCAGCAGGATAAGATTTCAGTCAGGCAGTTTACAAGAACCAGAAACAAGCCTAGGTAAATTGGTGTTGATTTGTAAGATGATGGATGATACTACATCAATGCTTTTGTATTTCAACTTGATACATGAAAATAGATACATACAAAAGCAAGACAGCTTGAAAAGGTGTGTGCTAAAACCCCTCACATAACTTGTGTGAGACATAAAGGACTTTTATGAAAATCATGCCATTGTATCATTATTTCCACAGTGGTTAAAATCCAGTCATTCTGATGTGTTGCAGTTTTCAACACTTTTGAATATTGCACAGCGTTTTCTCATCATCTTTCATAAGGAGAGCCACAGAAGACTGATTTCTGGTTCTGTACTTGCTGTTGCTCTCATTTGGATTGTTGGGACTTGCTAGATATTGCAGTTTGTAAGAGTTTGAGGATACGCATAAATAACTCCTAGAAAGTAATTCTTTTATTTTTACTGTAATCAGATTCTGTATGGGTAGGAGAAAGTAAGTCAAGATGTAAAATAGCCATCATTTGAATCAAGATTTAGCTCTCATTTCCTCACTGAGTGAAATGTCTGAAATACTTTGCTATTTTGGAACAACAAGGAATGACTGTTATCACACTAATAAGTAACCCATTCCTCTGAACATAGATAAATTCAGTGCATGTTGTGTATAATGTAAATTTCCAACTTGTAATTGATGGTCAACTGTAGTTTTATTAATTTATTTCTTCCTTTCTCTCTTTTCAGTAAAGAGTGTGTTATCCCATTGCAGTGCAGCTGTCCAATAGATTTTGAATTCCACATTGATTTAATTCAGCCTCACAGAGCCTTCACTGTCCAGCCGACATATGGTAAATTGAACTTATTAAAAGTTCTAAATGTTAAATGCATACTTATGAAGTGTGGTTACTTGTGACAGTGTATTCAGTGCTGTACAGTAAAAGTCTTTGCTTCAGAGTGTTTCCAGGTACATGCTGGATAATTAAGAAGAGTCATATGCAGCCTCATAGCAAATAGCCCTCTGTGGCTGGTAGATTTTTTTTTGTCAATGCCCAGCTGCAGACCTCTGCAAAATCAGTCCATCCGGCCTTTGTATTCTCTTCTTTGCCAGCATAGCCTTTTGAAAGGAGGGGGGCAGGAAGCCCAGCCTTCACCTCTTTATCACACCTTTTCCCAAGGTCTGTCTGGCTCCTACCCCATTAAAGGAACATCTGTCTTTATGGAATAGGCATGCATCAGATTACTTGATTGGGGGTACAGGAAATAAGAGGTGACTTATGCTCTATCAAACATGCTCCCATACCTTTTTTTCACTAGTGGTCTGTAAGAATTTGTTAGAGTTGTATCTGATGCTTCAGGAGCTGTTACAGTGAAGGGCACAAAACACACCACTGCAGGTGTTTCGTGGGAGGGCATGGATGTTAGAGTCAGTCTAGACCTCTGTGTGCAGGCTTTACAAGAGGCAGGGACTTTTGGAACAGTATGCTCAGCTATTTTCATGCCTAATGCTGGAGAGGGCTCTGTCTTGAGACAGACATACCTTTGCTGGTCTGGTGCTATCATTGTTGTATGCTGTCAGAAGCATATAAGTAAGTGCCCAGGTGTTCCAACAAAAATGTATATGCAGACCCAGCTGCATAATTCACCTACGCAGTCTGGTCAATTTCATGGAAATACATAAAGATCTAAATAAATAAGAACCTTAAATAAATAAATAAGAACCTTAAATCTGGCACTTAGCACCATTTGTGACACTGGAATTTAAACTTTGATTATTTATGCACTGCAATAAAAATTGCTGTTGTTTCAGTATGTAAAATGGTATTATTTTTTGCTGTGTTGACAGATGGATTTTCATTTTTTAGAAGTAGTAGTTGGATTCTATCAGGCATGTGGTTCACAAAGATGAGCTATGCTGCTGCCTTGATTAGGGTCATTTAGGATAATATTCTTTCTTATTTTGTGCTTAAAGAAGTTTTGATATATCAAGGGAGGACAAGAACAATATTACAATTGAATAAAATGAGGGAGAAGTTGTAAAATTCCTCAGGAAGTTTTTGGTTTTGCACAGTCATAGGCAAAGTAGCTGGAAGTAATTCATGCTTTCTAAGTTGGTTTAGTTCTTGGAAGAAAGGGGAACAAAATATGCCAGAAAAAACATCGACCCAGTAACAGAGAAGTCAGAAATTTTGGTAGCTGGGAATTCTGAGGCAGTGAATGATACCTGAAAAGCACTAAGAAGTTTTAGCGGCTATTCAAGCTGTTCTGTTGTGAGATATGATGAAATGATAAAAGAAATTCCACACACATACACAAAGCCCCAAAACATCCCAATGAAACTAACTGGTGTTTAAAACGGCAGGATACAGAAAATCAGGCAATGGTCACTTTACAGAGATGAGAATTTAATATTTCTGATGAGCTGAATAAATTTGTTGCAAAATGCTGAGGAGCATCAGGGCCTGTATCCTGGAATTCCACTGGATGTTTAGGGATATGAAGGGTGGTTAAAGTGGCTGAGAAAATAATGGAGTAGGTAATAATGAAAAAAGGCCAAGTAGAGACAGGTAATGCATCAAATCCAGATGATTCCCCAGCTTGGAGGGAGGCAGAGGAATATGTTTATAATGCTTTGTTCATTAAAGCAGGACATGCCAGAGACTTAGGACTGGCAGAAGCAAGTGAAGAATTTCTACATATAAACCGGCAATCATTTTCACAATAGTAGGAAATATTATAATCTTACTGTCAAATCTTTCTGCTGTTGCAAAATATCTCCCATTATCTGGCAATGCATAGTTCTTGAAAGATGCTTTGAGACCTGAAATATTTTCCAGGCCTACTGCCATCCATTCAAATATTAATACTCTTTTCAAAAATAAAAATGTAGTCCAGAGACAATTTCAGCATACTTAAGTGGGCTCATGTTAGATGGACTCATTGTTTTTCTCCTCTAATCATAGGAATCATTCCAGGCAATGGGAAAGTGGAATTAACTGTGAAATATTCCCCAGTTGGGTATGGAACAGCACAAATGACAATGCAGTTACGGATTTCACAGTTTAAGTCAAAACCCTATGTATGTGTATTCACAGGAACATCAACACCACATCTGGGTCTAACGTATGTGTAGCTGACTGATCTCTGAATATTTTTGCCCTGTGCTAAAAGATACAGCCATTTGTTGTAATCATTTCAAGCATTTGGATCTATGCATTTATGTAATTTGACTGTTAGTACATGTACCTGCTCTTCTACATCATTTGCTCAGAATGCCCTTAATCTGTATGAAGTGAAACTGTACCAAAATAAACATAGTTGTAGAATCATTGAATGGTTTGAGTTAGAAGGGACCTTAAAGATCATCTAGTTCTGACCCCCTGCCATGGGCAGGGACACCTTCCACTAGACCAGGTTGCTCAAAGCCCCATCCCACCTGGCCTTGAACACTGCCAGGGGTGGAGCACAATGAAAAATAACATACCCTTAAAGGAGTGTTGATCATCCTCAGTTTCTGTTGTAACTGTTCTGTGTTATTCTTATTGCTGAGGCCTTGCAACATACAGGGGATTTTGAGCAATGAAGTCTTTTGGGCTGCACTCATTTTTTTGTGAACTCTGAAGAGCAGAAAGTTTGCTTCCAAGCGTAATTTGGGAGATACATTTACAGTCTCCATGTATATCTAAAGGGGGTGTAAATGCATGTATTAGACTTATATGCCATTTAAAGAGTACTTACAAGAGCAATTTATGTCCTACTGACATCTAGAAAAGAACATTTTGACAAACTACAAAGTCATCCAGAGAAAAAAGCTGCATCTGCAGGAAAATTTGTGGTGTGGAGAAGAAACCAATTCAGTCGACCACGAGCAAGGCCTATTCAAAAAGTAAAGGTGTGAACAGATAATAATTACAAGTATTTATCTGGGCTGAAAATATTTCTTGTTTGTATTTCTTCCTATTAATTTATATCTTGTAGGAAATTGAATACCAGAACCTCAGATTCCCCACAGACTTGTCAAATCCATATGCTGTAGCTACTGTTTTGAATCAGGAACCAGGCAAATTGAGGATTAAAGACTTGAAAGAAGGTAATGTGATTAAGCAGCATAAACTTGGTTGTAGCATTATTTGTAGGTTTTTGATGAGGAATTCTGCTCCAGAATTGCTGAGTTGATGTTACTGTAGTTTCTGTAACAAATCTTGCCTTAGCTTTGTGTCTTAATGAGTTCAGTTATTGTAACAGTGGATTTTGCAACTAAAAATGCAGTCTGGTCTGAGGTGTGATATTGTTTTCTGATATTCCTGCAGTCCTTTCTCAAGGCTGTGAAGGCATAAAAACAAGACAGATGAAGGAAACTCTATTTCAACTAAAAGTTAAACAAAATATTCAGGAAGAGGAAGCAAGTCATCTGAAATGGTAAGTATTAGTTAACCAAATTAACAAAACTGGGGTTTGCTTAACCAAGGCCTCTATGAATGATGTATGCAATATCCTCTAGTGCATAATGCTGACATTTCATGTCCTGACAGGTTTGTTTTACAGTTAAGTTACTGTTGTTTTCTTTCCTTTTTTTTTTCCTACCTAAGTGCAGTCTCAGCAATAATCCGTAGTAGTACTCAATGAGGTCTTTGATTATGTTATAGTTGTGTTCAGAAAGACACCTGCTGAAAACCTTGTTCACTTAACCTTGTTCTAAGACATCTCATCTTGTGCCCCTGAAGGCAAAGGAAGCTTTTGATAGGGTTGTCAATAAATCTGAGTTAAAATGTATAATGGAGTGAACAGAATTGCGCATGTACATCAAATGGCATAAAGAAAAACACATAGTCATGTGTGTAAGCATACTGTGGTTTCATTTGCAATCCACAGATCTGCCCTTTATGCTAAACATTATGGATCCCTGGACACCTTAGGAGGAGAAGAATAAGTCTGTTAGCCTTTAAATAAAGTAAATTGTGCATTGAGTAAAGCATTTTTCTTGTCTCCACTGTAAATGCAGGCAAGTTCGTAAAGGCCAAGATCCAATCTCTGTGGAACTGAAAAAACAGATTATTGAAAACCGACAGAGGGAAGAACAACAATACAAGGTTAGTTTTTCTGGGCTTTTTTCTACAAACTTAAAGAAAACCCTTATACTTTCAGATTACACAGTGCACTAGTGAATTCCATCAAGTTCTTTACATCTTTACTTTTTCTTCATACATCCATGCAAACCTGTACTGGTAGTACAGGTTACTGTAGTTATATCTTTATTGTGCCTGTGTATCACTGTTTCAGAGGTGTTTTTTATCTTGGAGGTAGACAGAGAAGGATAAGTTATTAATGGAAATGTAACTAGATGTTTGCAGATTTGCACTCAGCCACATCACAGTGCAACATTGCAGCGTAATCCTGTCAGCACCATGGCTAAATCCAACCTGCTGTTTATGTTGTACCTCTCTGAAGAGATGATGTCCTGAAAGGCTCAGTCAAAGAGCTAAACACAGTCAAGTACTCTCACACAGAGCCATGAGGAGGTAATTCATCAGATTGGTCTTCTGAACCTTCACCTTCTCTCTGGTTTCTTCTGGTCATCCCAGATTGCAAGTCATCTTCCATGGAGGTGATATCATCAATGCATGGTGGTAGGAAGTATTTTTCCCCAGGTGGCACAGCCTGCAGGGACAGGTGGGGCTTGTCCCTCTTATCCTGCCCCCTGGATATTCAAGTAGCTTTTGATATCCCACTGATTGCCAAGAAGCTTTTTATGGGAATAAAATTATTTATAGATATGGTAAAAGCTTAATTTATACAGTGAATTAGGCACAGTGAATTCATTCAAACATTATATTTAATGCAAAGGAGAAAGTGCGTAAAAAGGGAATCTAAGTTGTGAGATTGATGTATCACTGAATTAGATGAATATTGACTTTGTTTAGAAACATTTATTTACCTACATGTTGACCATAATGGATCTGGAGATCTCTGCCTGGTTTCACAGTTGCCCCCATGACTTTCTGATAGAGGCATATTTTTGGTCATGCTGTCAGTTTTTTCACCTTGAGTGTCAGGCTTCACAGAATATTTATTATCCTTTCATCATTTGCTCGGGTGGCCAATCTGTTATACAGCCTGGGAGTGGCTATCCTGGAGACCTTTAACTGGTCTGTCTTCTGTTGTACTAAAACCTCAGTCTATGAAAATCATGGAAATTTGACTCTGCAAAATAAAGCCAAGTTCTCTATTTAAGACATGATGGTATGTTGGAAATGAAACAATAGGTGAGTAGGACTGGGGTGAAAGAGGCACAATGAAAAGAAGCACTCGTATTCATCCATCATGCCTGAACACTGAGGGGGTCTCAAAGAAGTGAAGTGATATCAATAGTAAACTGTTTCACACATGAGCAGATTAAGGAGCTGGAACCATTGGAAACCATGACGGGAGATGTTCACAGAACATAGAAAAGCTGCAGGAAATTTATGTAGCACTGTCATGATCTGTTTGAGTGCTATCTTTTGGTATCAGTTCCATAACCCCTCTCTGGCTGAATCTGTCTATGCAAAGCAAACTGTATTTCATTAGGGCAGAGACCTGAGTGAAACCCAGACCCCAAAAGACATTATTTAACTTTGTTTGACTTGCTCAAGGGTTGCAGTAATCACTGTCTAGAAGGGAATGAAGTCTGTGTTTTGTCAAGCACCTCCCAAATATTACAGCATAACTTAATTCTACTAGTCATAAGGGAGGAAAGAATCCACTGGATGCTTTGTTCTGATTTGATTGTTCTTCCTGATTATAAATTAGATCCAGAGAGGAGATCCTATCATAGAACAGGAATTACAAAGGAATGAAGTAGAAGTTTCTTTCAGGCGTGTTATCCGGCCTGTTGACCAGGTTTGTTTATATGTTGTTATTGCCTACTATATGTTATTATCACCTACTAAGCTACCAAACAGATAGATATTTGGCACTGCACATTTTTTCTCCTAATACTCCTATTTCTGTGTCAGTTTCTTATTTCCCATTTTACTTTCAGTACAGTAGCACTGTGCTACATGCACAACACATCTTCTGACTTTCTACTCTAATATGAGAGACAAGTGGAAATTTGCACGCCTAACCTCAGATTCATGTTGCTTCTTTCTGAAAGTTCTCTTAGGAGTAGCTTTGTCATGCTTAAACATAAGGTTAAGCGTATCACAAGGTTTACAACCTTTACCGGCAGGTCAGATTGACAGGAACCTTTCTGGTACTTAGACTTTTTTGTCCTTCTCTGTGGTGTGAGGTGCTTCCTAAGATCCATTTCCTAGGATTATTTGGAGCTTTCTTTAATAGATAACCTGCTGCTGAATGAACTTCTAATGGTAGTAACACAAACTGCCTTCTTGAGGAACAAAATAGCTCTGGAAGTTGTCTTTTGCTGTACTCTTACACCTGTTACAACGTGCTGAAAATTGTTTGGTGAGGCATGGCATGGGGTTCTGTGGGACTGGTGTTCTAGGGTCTTCCTAATCTAAATGTTGGTTGTGCAGCTGCTCTCCTCCTGAGAGGTACTGTACTCTGGGAACACTGCTGTCTCTTCTAGTGCCATGTTCTGTTACAGTTTAAAACTAGATCTTTAAAAGAGATTAATGCATCAGGAAGATTTACTTGTGTTCAAAGAGTATTTCAACAATTTAAGACATTAAATATAGACACATCACCTCTTCCTCAAGTATGTCCAGAGCCAGAGATCACTACATATGGGGACATTTTTCTGGGGAATTATTACTCTAAATTTATCCTTGTCTTTTGCCCTTCTCTATGTGTGTACTGTCTGCCATTATTGGAGACAGGATGGGCCACTGGTTTGAGCACTTACAGCTCACATCCATGAAAGATGAAGTGTGGATTTGGTAGAGAACTACTACATTCTCTCCAGTGTCTGACTGCCCATGTATTACACTGAAGTAATAGTATGTGGTTGTCATGTATGTGGATGCAAACCATGCCATATTATCTCTTCATTCCCCATACTGCATCTGAAAATATTTGGTGATTACCTCCCATTAAGCCCTGCAGTGAAGGCTTCTGGTTAAATGCCAATACTGCAAATGCTTCCGCTTGACTTAATGTCAGTGTTTAGAAACAGCATACAGATTCAGGCAAAGAAATGGCTCAGGCTGGAAGAGATTTCTCACTGATTGTAAAAAGTTTGTGATTTTTCTTTTCTGTTTCTTTTTGTTTTGTTTTTTTTTTAAATACCATGCAGTATCCAAGTGTCCATCCTACATTTGACCTGCTCCATAATGACCCTTGGGAGAACAGAAACAGGATGTTCAGGAAATTCCAACAAGCAGCATACAGGGTAATGTGAACAACCAGAATGCGGTGTGATGGCATGATGCCTTGGAAATAGCACAAGAGAACATGCAAACCAGAACATAAGGAGTCTTCACAGCTAGCCAGGGATTTGATAGTTTAATAAATATGTCCTTGCTTCACCAGGAAATAAGGATCTGGAGTAAATTTTGTATTCTGTGGGTGCTCCTGCTGGTGCTTAATATTGCAATCAATGCTAAGTAAATACAAATGGATTTAGTTTGCTTTTTTTTAAGTGAAAAATACTTCTACATATTAAAGAACAGATTTCAAAATGCATATAGTTGCTCAGTTTTGGACCCCTAGGACAAGAAAGACATGAATAAGCTGGGGTGAGTTCAGTGTAGAGCTACCAAGATGGACAGGGTCCTGAGCATTCTGTTTGTGAAGAGACTCTTACTCAGCCTGGAGAGGGAAAGTGGAGGGAAAGAACAGTACCTTCCAACAACTCTGATGAAGTTCTTGATGATGGAGCTAGTATCTTTGGAGTGATGCATGGCGGGAGTATGGGAAACAATGGGCATCAATTCAAATAGGAGAGGTCTAGAGCATGTATAAGGAAATCCTTTTTTACTGTGAGGACAGTCATTCATTGGAGCACATTACACAGAGAAGTTGTGCAGCCTACCTCATCCTTGGACGTTTTCAAGACCAGACTGGATAAAGCCCTGAGCAACTTGGTCTCTTGGTCTTATCTTGTCACTGACCTTTTCTTGGAGCAGGAGGTTGGACTAGGACCTTCCAACATGGAAGCTAAAGATTAACCAGTAAAATCACTTAGCTCAGTGGATTTAAATATTATCTTGCATCTCTACTGCTCTTTTTCCAATAAATCTAAATGTAGCAAGCAATGTGGATGTTTCCTGCTTTCCTAGTGTTCAGTTTGCATAGTGTCCAACCTATTCACAATATTAGGCTCCATACAGAGGTTCTGAAATTAAATACTCTTTCCTCTATTGCACAAATAAGGAGGTAGTTAAATGATCCCTTCTGGTATTAAAACCTAGGACTCCTCATTGTGATATATGGCGCTAAGCAAATTTCACAGTGCAGGTTAATACTTATTCTCTTCATTCATTAGACCACAAGTATTCATTTGGCCCTGATCAACTGACTGTCTACCCACTGTTAAATCTGTATATGCCAATAGACACAGCTGAAGGATTAAGACCTAGCTAAAAAGAGTCTGATGAATCTGTAAGACTAAATGAAAACTTGAACTGGTTTTGTTGAATAGTGTCATGTTAGTTGAGATCCATTCTACATCTCTCCTTTCCCATTTTCTCTCTCCTGATCAGAAAACTAACCATAGTTAAAAAATCTGAGAGATGGCCAAGTGGGCTCTGTAGAATAAATACAGTTGTAATCGATGTTTCTTTCTACAGCTGTAAATCTTACAGTGTTTGGCTGAATGTTAAACTTAAAAATCATTCTCTCAGATTGTTGTGCAGAATCGGCTAAATCGCTTACTGCTTCTGTTCCGTGGGCTAAGCAGAGAAGCCAGAGACTTGGAGGAAGGCTCTATGTATGGTAAGGAGTAGAGCAAGTTGATATTTTGGCTATGAATTATGATAATCCAGGTTGTACTGCAGCATGTCAGGTGTGTTACGTATAAAGACAGAGTCCTTAAAAAGGAGTCTTCCAAAAAAAGAGAACAGTGTGACAAGGTAGAATCATAGAATCACAGAATGGTTTAGGTTGGAGGGCATCTTTCAAGGTTATCTAGTCCAACTCCCTTGCAATGAACAGGAACATCTTCAACTAGATCAGTTTGTTTTTTTTTTTTATAAGGAGTTCTCCTCCTTATAATTTTCTCATACAAGTGCTTTCAAAAAATCACTTTTCTTTATGGTGAAATGAAAGTGCTGGCCTGGATAAGTCACTTGTTCTTTAACAGCCATAGAAGGAAACTGGCCTTGAATGGCAGTCACAGTTGGATATACTGGGGACAGAAGAGAATTTGTGCTTCTTATTTCCCACTCCCTTGTACACACACAGTTTGACAACTGCTGAAATGTCTTTCCATGTCAGGCCTTTTCCTGCTTCTGCAAGTAGGCATTTTATAATTCCCAGAATGCAGAAATTGCAGGGATGCTTCAAGTAGAAGGCATAACAGCAGTTAGTGTAACAGAGGCCTTCTGACCTGTCTCTGCCTTGCTGAGCAGAATGAGATAGAAGACCATGCTGGAATAAGGGAGGTTTAATGTCCTTTTAGAAAAGGGGAAATTAGATCTGCCTGATAGTCAAGATATTGTGCCTGCTATATTGTAGATGTAGCATTTAAAGTCTTTAGGAAATATTACCTTTTTGTATTGAATTATGTCTACTTATATTTGTATCTATTCATAAAATTATATTTATTAATTAAAAAATCAATATATAAATATCAAGATATAAATTTATAAATTAAAATTTATATTAAAATTACTAGACATAACTGTCTTAGGAAGATGTTAAATATATTTTGTGCCTTGATTCTATTTTTGAAACACTGTATTGACATATATTAAAAAATCTTAGTATTTGCTTTCCATTCATGACAGAAAGCAGGAGTTTCAGCAAACCAGAGAGGAGTGAAGAATGTAAGGGCTTTTCTTCCAGCATAACTGAAGATCGTATATTGCCTTTTGAATTCCCTTTTTACAGTTCCTATGAGTTGCAGCAAGATTTGGTAGGTACAGTAATGAAATGATGGCCCACACTCAAGATGATAGAATTTTGGTGCGGACATTGGCCTCAGGCCCAGTACTGCCTTTATTAAAGTTTCACAATGTGACTGGTGTTCTGGGGTTCTGACAAATTAATTCAGGACTTCAGATTTACTAAGGCTGCTGCTGAAAAAAAGATCTTTGCATTCTCTTAATGGCATTCTAAAATTCTGAATAATACATTCATGATCAGAGTTAGTTAACATCCATGATTTTGCAGAAGGAAAGAAATGAGAAATAACGGAAATGCCAAAGTCCAAGACAGGACACGAGAAATATCAAACAAAATGTTAGCATAATTATGTCCATATGTTTTCAAGTAGCTGTGCTTATGGATTGCTGACAATGCAAAAACAAAGACCCACCATATTACCGGGTTTTTAAATACTGTATTTTTTTCAGGCACCTGATGCTCTTGGCCTAGTTCCTATTGAATCTGTAGATGTGAAAGTGAGACATGTTCTTCCTTTTTACGACTTGAAGGTGAGCCAGAACAGCTTCTTCAGATGTATCATGTTTCTCTCTTTCACCAGTCCAGTTAGACATGGTTTCTGCCTGATTCAGTGGCTCCAGTCTGCAGCCCAGTAGAAATGTTGTCTTAATATGGCTGTATGATTATCATGCTTTTATTAAAAACAAATTTTACCTGTTTCCATAAGTAACAAGCTTATAGCCAGCAATAGTCTCCTCTCCAGATAGAGGTGAACCACTTCAGCTGAAATTATTATATTTCAACCAACAAAATCCCTCTATGAATAAAGAGTTTTATGAAAGTGGTATTATAGAAGTGTCCTTCCTTTTAGAGAGTAATGGAAGTCTATTTATTTGGCATTCAGTTCTGCATGATTCATTTCTTCATTCCTGCAAACATCTCTTTGAAATATATAATTTTTTTTTCAACTTTATGAGTACAGAAACTTTTTTTTTTCTCCTGACTTCTAAACCCTTTTCTCTCCAATTTTTGAATAACAAAAGTTCAAATTCTGCACCCCATTGAAGTCAAAATATTCCCCCAAGTTCAAATCAATACAGATTTGGGCTCAATGTTCACTTTTTTTTTTTTTTTTTCAGATGGTGTAACAAGTCTAGAAGCATTCTTGTAGCATCTTTTATGCTTATTATGCATTGGTTCATCTGTCACTGTTATGTATATTACTTTTGTCCACCACATTGAGTTCAGAATATTCCTATAACCCTATAAAATCCATGATATTTTATAGAAAAGTGAGAACGGAAATATTCCTTTCTGCCCTCATTCAGCTTGTCTTGGTGAAGTATGGCTTCTCAAAGCTTTGTTATAATGCACCACATTCCAGAATAGTGATCCAAGTGTCTTTTACCACAGAGGTGTGATGTGTGTGATAAAGCTGTAATGCTCCATTCCACCTATGAGTTAATCAGTAGTGATTACTGCCATCTCCTGCAGCACATCTTTTTTATTTGCACTTAGGTTCCTCAGCATTTCAGCATTATGAAGTATCAGCCATTCTGTACACACTATGCAGCCACAAGCTACAAACCTCAAAAACTTTCCCGACCACTGAGGCAGGGAGCCCAGGTAACAAGTCATCTCAGATACAAACTTTGTTGAATTCACTTCCAACCCTTCATTCTTAAAATTATTTGATTCATTTTGTCTCAACATTTTATGCCAAAGGCTTACTATACTCTGAAAACATTTGACGTCTGTGTTTTTCAAGGATGAGTTGATTCAAGTAATTGGTTCTCCTGAGGGGCACCTTCACCTGGTCTCCCAGAAGGCAGATTTTCACAAACCATCCCCAGAAGTGGCAGAAAGGGATATCAGCCTCTTAAAGCTGGTTCCTCCCCAAGCTTTAGTCTACCCTACAGAGAGCATCCCACTTCGTATTTTTGTAAGTAGAAGTTGACTTCTGCAAAGAACCTAAAAACAGAGGGGAAGAGGGGTTTGTTTCATCAGAAGCCTGATGTGGAATTGGTGGGCAATTTTCTTGCTCAGATTGGTGTATAAATCTATCTACAGTGAGAGTAATCCCCCAAGGTTCAAGCCCTGGTAGGTAGAAGTGACAGAGCAAATCGCTCTGAGAGGGGAACCATTTCATTTTAAGGTGGAATTTGGTCAGTTTAGGAGAGGAATGATAAAGCAAAGTTGCCAGTGAACTGGAGACCCTTCTAGTCTCACACTCCACAAATGGTCACTGATCCCAGGATTCCCTGAAACACCATGGGGCCTCTCCCATCTTCTCCATTTGTTTCCTCACTTGGACATTAGAAGAAAAGCCATGATTTTGGCATCTCAGTCCTTCTATAACCTCATGCTCTTGCCCAGGTAATGGGACAGGTGCAGTCGTTCTGTTCAGCTAGAGGACTGCAATTCTGCCTGATCCTTAGATAAACTGAGAAAAGTGAAGTCAAGCTCTTTACTCATGTTGTCTCCTGCCACCTTAGAGTTTCCAATAGTTCTCATAGTATCTGAAAACCACATTTCCAAGTTATTAGGCACAGAGATTCAAAAAATCACAGCTGCGTGTGTGGGAGGATTTTCTGTTAATTGTCATGTAAATTGTGCTACTTGGCATAGAGTGCAGAAGGTATTTCCTGACAGTGCATCACAGCCTGGAGGTCCCTGAGGTGTCTCTGAGCAGACAAAGACAGATGTATAGCTCAGTGGAGTGCTGTGCATGGGTACAGGCAGCATCTCCAAGCCAGCACGGCACTGTGTTTGACCTGGGTGGCTTTGTCTTTCAGCAGTACTTAGCTGCAATGGGCCAAAGCCCAGAGTGCTGGTATGGTGATCTTGGAATAACATATATGGTATAGGCTTGTACTCACTGCATGCAGCCAGGGCTCCAGTGGGCTTAGTGATGAGATCCTCTCTGCATCACTTTCACATCAGTTTCATCTCTCTGTCATGTCAGTGTAAGAGTCAGGCACAGCTTGATCCCACACTACCCAGCATTAGACTTTACTCAGAAACAGATGCTAATGCAGTAAAACAGATGACAAAATGCTCACTAGCTTACACCACAGCAAAGTCAGTTCCCATTCTGAACTGTTCAGAGAATCAGCAGTGGATTTTTGAGTAATCAGGAAATATTTTTTTCTTCCAAACTTGGAGTCAACACCTAAATTGCTGTATTCTAGACAGCAGGGAGCATGGATAAACCAGGCAGATTATGGGTCTGTGATGAAGGAAAGAGACAGGAAATGAATGGTCAGACCAAATAGAACAGTCACAATGAGACGCAGGTGTGAATCTGGGGAGACTACATCATTTATAAGAACTGAATTTTCATCAGTTTAGTTCTTTATGGTGCTCAGAATGATTTTGTAAGATAATCTCTTCTTTGTTTTTAGAATCCTACTCCAGGATTAGTTCCAATTTTACTTCCTTTGGCCTATTCTGAAACAAATATTGAATATCATCTTTGTCCTCATCCAAAATACACCTTTACCAAGGAATGTCCCAAAGGATCCAGTATTCCAGTCACACAAAAGAAATTTTTACATCACAAGGTATGGCCTTTTGAGTTTATTGTATCAGTACCAGGCTTGGGTACGTTCTTGCTAAGAATTTGTTCCAAGTAATCTAAAAGGAAGCTCAAGAGTCATCCTAGATAGAAAACATTTTCAAATATAAATTATGCAACACCTAAATAGTCAGTACGTGGGTCAAAATTACTTTTAGTCTTTATCCGTGCCTCTTATTTATCCCTAAATATTTCTCTGCTCTTTCCTTCTTTTCACTGTCTGTTGTATTTTCATGACCTTGCAGTGGAGGAAGTATCTTTTAAATATGGAGAACTTCAGCTTGTCAGATTCAATTCTCATCCAAGAAGTCAGACAGTCTGTCCCTCAAGCCTCTCCCCCCACTGCATACGCTGCATTATGTATTAGAGATCTGATTGCTGTAGCACTTGTCATTTCAGGATGTGATTTCTGGAGTAATGGAATGGAAAAGATTCTTACCAGTGGTGTATTCTACTTTTTCTAACACTCCTACATGGATAAGTACAACACCTAGGTAAGAAAGGATTTGAGTGTACAGTGCCTTTACCCAGCACTAGTTTCTGCTGTCTCTAACTACATTGACCAGTAACTAGTCCCACAGATAAAAATGGGACTACAGGTGGAATTCATTGCTGCTCAGAAATTCAAAGCCAAAGGGAAAAATCCCTGCTGACCTCATTGAATGGTGAGTTAAGAACATTATTATTAGAGGATATACCTAGCTCTGGAAGAATTCCAGTCTGGACTTTCAGTCATAACTCTCCTGAATACTTTTTCATTCAGTCCTAGAAGACCCTGGGAGCTACAAACTCTTCTCTGTCCTGCAGAAGTGTAAATGGTAAAACCTTTAACATATGGGCATCTGTACTCAGTAGTAGCCAGCATGTCTCAGGCTCATGTTCCCTCCTGTCACAGCAGTTGCTGACTACATCATCTTCATTGTAATTACTACTATGAAGCTTCAAAATATAAACATTTAGTGCAGTTACTCTCTGCTCCTCTTAAACTAGTACCATTTCCATCACAGGGATCCTTACAGTTCAGATATGCTTCCAAGAGATGTACCACCAATGTTGTGTGACTTACCAGAGAGAGACAAGGAGAACATAATCGACCAGTAAGTTTCTCCTCTATTCTGAACTAAATGTGGCTGATGATTATTTCTTAAAGACTTGTATGGATGTACCTAAACCTGTCCCAAGAGATCCCCAAAGGCAAAAGCACAAAGTCGCTATTACATAAAACATACTTTCATTTTTGTTGGCTAAAAAATACTTTTAAAAGGATCAAGCCAACTGTTCTTCAACTTATTAATTTTTAGAGAGACAGATGAAACTGAGTTCAAAATGACTCTTACTCCAGAGATGGTAAAAGCTGAATTTCCACAAATTGGGCAGACACTCTCAGAAGAAAGCAAACAGAAATCGGCAAAAGAAGAAAGGTAGGCATGCTTTGAAGTTAGGGGAGAGGAATGGGAGGAAATCTGAAGACAAGCATCCCTTTCAGAATTATGTAGAAAGTCATACTGCGATGCTCTAGGGCCATCCTGTTTGGCTTTGTAAAGAGGGAAACAAAAATATTAGTACACAGTGAAGTCCCAGTCCTTTCTTTTGTCACTAGAAGGTTCTTCATTGTTATGGATAGGGTGATGTTTCTCTAGAGGACAGAAGCACATTGCTCCTTTACAGCAGTTTCAACATTTTATCTTTAAGGCAAATCAGTTTTTTCATGTGGATGCTCTTGTTCTGGCTATTACATCATATGTTCCTTCATAGATAAAATGTAAAACTCAATGTAGTATGGATTTAGCTTTCCTAGCTGGCCAAGCAAAGAGTGAATGTTTGTTTCATAGTTTCACTCCTTTTCCAGTTCTGCATAAGTAGTGAAATACCCTCTGTGTTCATTATATATATATATACACACATATATATAAAATAAAGGAAAAGAGAGAGAGAGAGAAATTATGTGTGTCTCTTCCTTTGTTTTTGTCAGCATTCCTAAGTAGCTTCCCTGGTTATTATAAATACAAATGACATTTTAAACTTCTTGCAGAGACCTGCACAAGCATCCAGACGGACATTTTCTACTCCAAAACAATGAGCTCAGAGAGAAGGTTCAAAAACACGTGGAGGAAATGAAGCTGAAAGCACTTAATAAAACCCTTATTCTGGAATAAGAATAATTTTACAAAGCCCATGGCTTGGCACTGCTTATCCTGTTAATGTGTGAGGCTGCCTATGTCCCTGCTACATGTACTTACGTTCAGTGAGGTCAGCAACTTCTCATGCAGAAAGAAGAGAGCCACCAGTAATGCCACCTCTGTCAAGGACTTTTCACTGTGACCATTACCCCCAGCACACAGTAATTGCTCCAGCGAGAGTCCTCAGCCATGTGCCTGCTCATTTTGTCCTGGTACAGAGGACCAGAAAACTGCAGTGCTACCATATAGTTTGGTAATTAATGTAAAGCCCAATATTTACAAATAAAAAGTGAAAAGTCTTCATGACCAAATTCTTCTGATTTGGGTTTTTTTTTAGTTGTGTCCTGGCCTTGAATTTTTGCAGGTAAGTCACTGAATCTCAGACTTGACTGGGAATCACACACTTGAGACTTTAAACAAAAAGACTTGAACACAGTTGCTGTCCGTAAATGTCCAAGCAGATCTCATTAAATGTTCAGAGGGTTAAATCAATTTATAGTTCTTTTGGCAATAGGGTGTATGGACTGGGTGAATGAACTCCAGAGCCTCGTGAGAGACCCGCAGTGCTCAGGGTGTATTCCCTAGGAAAGCAAATACATCAGCATATTGTGTTTTAGCTGAGATGTCTCTTGCTTTCTTGTGGGCAAGCTGGACATCAGACAAAATTGGTTTTATCCATAGTGAGTTGATGTCTCATTTTGAAGTGTGCTCCAGGCTATTTGTGCTGAAAAGCACAAATTTTCTGAACCAAAAGGAATGGAAAATGCAGGAATACATACTGCTTTCCTAGAACCCATATTTCTTTCCAGACACTCTTAAAACCCCTAAGAAAAAAAGTTTATTTCCGGTAGAGGAGATCAGTGTAGGCAAACCATCCAGGGAGATAGACAATGGGAAAGTAGGGTGAAAATAATGCTACAGAGTAGCCTCTATTATACTAGCTACATACTATTTTTGCACACTTCAGAGAAATAATTGGCAAAGGATTGTTCACAATGCAGGTCTGGATATGTGCAGAATTTCTCTGAGTACAAACAACTGCTTAAATACATACACATTGCTTTTTTTCTTCTGCTAGTCATTAGGAAAGCAGTTGATCTTTTAAGAGTTTCTTAAAATGACCATGACACAAACATTTTCACAGTTGACAGTGAAAGCATTCACAGTTCATAATTCATAGTTCATAATTCACAGTTAATAATTCACAGTTCAGGTTAAATCAAACAGATAATTCTTAGGAACTGCTAACTATCAGCTAAATTTCAATGTCTAGGAAAGATGGAACAGATGTTCAGACACTGGTGATCAACCAAAATTGATCTCTTTTTTCTTACAGTAGTATCCTCTTTCCTCCATAGTGATTCCTCATTATCCCAGTGAAAATTAGTCATGCTTCTCCATTCTCCACCAGAGACATAAGCCTTTAAATAAATGAACCTCCTTGCTGTTTAACCAGCTCTTCTTTCTGCATTTTAAGTTTATTATGGGCCAGGTTTCAGTGTGCAGAGAAGGTAAGAAAAAGCTGTTAAATTGTTCCTAAAATCCAAGGGGACAGCTAGGAATACACAAACTTCTGTATAATACTTCCCTCCAAGATACCTCATAATACAAGGCTGACTCTTCTCAAGGTGATAAGCTATCAGAGGCAATCCAGCTGTGTGTAAGAACATGAAACTTGGCTAAATAATTAGAAGTCTTAGGTTTTCACATGAAGCCACTTAAGTGTTCTTCTGGTTGACTACTGAACACTTTTAGAAGTTGGATATAAACTGTAAGAATATTGTAAAAATTCTATAAGAATTCTGTAAGAATATATAAACTATAAGAATTCTATAATATAACTGTAAATTATAAACTGTAAGAATTCTAACCTCCAGTTGGTGGTTATTCAGAGTTCTATGCCTATTCAGTGTTTTAAGGAAAGGACTGTGGTATTAAAGAAAATAAATCAGAGGAAAAAGAAATGATGTAATGGAAATTGTGGTTTTGGTGTAACATTACCCAGCACACTGTAATATTTCTGACAGTCATTTTTATCTGGATTATAATTTATAATTTATAATGCACTGAACCAGAGCATACATTCTGGAATGCATTTTTATATTTAAAAGACATATATGCAGATGTCTCTGACAGACTGCTAATAGCTGTTAATAAACACTCAGATGCTCTATAGGGTCTTTTTTAAGGATCAGCTAGCAATTGAGTGAAATGTCAACACCCAACATCAGTGCTGTTTAAAGCAGCCTTAGTGCAAACTTCAGCCTTAGGCCTTTGTTTTTACAAACTCTGGAAAACAGTCTATTAAGGCATCTTTTAATGTGCTTTGTTATGCCTCTATTAAAGGTACAAATCACTCTCTTTTAAAGGAAATGTATCATTCAGTTCTAGATTAATATCATGAATGTGCCAATTGAGTTCACATACAGATTGCAAAGAAAGATAAATTAAAAATATATATATATATAGGCATATTTCCATACATTCTAATGTTAATTTGTGGGTTGCCTTATTTTGGGAATCAAAGAACTGCCTTCTTACTGAGCTAACTGGGAAATTAAGAGTGTAAATTGATATGCAGAATGTGACAAGTTTATTTCCATTCACTGAAAATTAAATTGCTGCTGCTTCCCTTGTTTGGGAAGGATTAATTGGCTAAATAACCATGGAACAGTTTAACCAGTTAACATATATCCATCTTGCCTGAAAAAGCCTGTCTTATTAGCAAGGTTAATAAACAGTGACTCATTCTTTAGCTTTTCTCCCTTTTATTACATAAGAAATGAACATTAACCTCAGTCAAATGAAAGGTGCATTTTAAGATTAAGAAAACATTAATGTTTTTATGTGGAAATGATCTGTGATCTGAAGAGCTTGCAACTGGGTTATTAATCTCACTGTTCCATGATGAGAGAAAACTCGTCCAGGTCTATAAAATGTAAATTAATTTTATTTTATAAGAAGGCTGGGAGAAATACAGCAGTGTGTGTCTGATGTAAAGAAGCGGGTGAAACTATTTTCAGCTCATAAGAATAGTTTAATGAACCCCAAATTAAAGAAACCCTGATACCTTTGGAATTATAATTCAAGGTTCAATTACTCCAAACTCCAGTTGAAGTTTGTTTTGTGGTCTGAGCATTTATTTGGACTCTCTTTTGCACAAGTTTTCTTGTGTTTAATAAGAGCTGTGCTCACACTGCATCATTTGCTTTATGGAAACACCGTGAAGGCTTCTCTCCATCTGTTTAACTGTGGAGGATTTTAATTCTTGCTGAGATCTCTTCTGTTTCTTCAGTTTGGTTGGAAATAGCTTAGGATTTATCAGGTGAGAAATACACAGTGGCATTTCCTTAGAAAGCTGGATAAAGGTAGAGAATAAGGATTTCTCTGTGTGCTCAGTGTGGGTAAACTTGTTTGTAAATGTAATTTTGAAGTGCTGCTTTGCAATCACTAAGTACATAATTCATAAAGTCCCTGCAGAGGCACCAAACAGCTGATGTGCTAAGGGCTTCTATGACCTCTGAAAACCATACCTGTCACTGGTGTACCTAGGTTTTGCACACAAGTTACTTTAAGGCAGAACTGGTTTTAAAAATGATTTGATCTCATTTGATCTCATGTGTCACCCTTTGCACTGAGTACCAACACTGCTTGCTTGGATTAAGTCCCCTTCTTCAAGCAGTTGCAACTAGCAGTATACAGTGATATGAAAACCTTCCCAATTTTTTTTGTTTTGTTTTGTTTATTTCTGAAGTGTGAAAAGCATTCAGAGAGAACTTTTTAAAGCAGTGAGCAAAGTCTACAACTGTTTAGTCTGGTGGCGCAGGAATCAGCTTTTCTAGCCTGAGAAACTTCTTTGGCCTCCTCCAGCTTTACTTGTGCTAAAGATTGGTCACTGGTAGCTGCTTTGGTGTAGGCCCTGGAAAGCCATCAAGAATCCAGTGTACAGTCACAAACAGTTCTTCTGAGGACCTTGTGACGTGGGGTATTGTCAGTGGCAGGGTCTCAGCATGTGCTTGAAAGAGACCTGTCATTCCCAGGAATGGGTCCCCATTCATACTGCTCCCACAGACTGAAGGACTTTGGTCAGAATTGCCTTGTGATTCTTCATTTTTATGGATGTCTCATGTAACGTATCATTTCTATGAAGATGGAATTTGTCAGAAGTCTCCCATAAATACTGCTGTATGGCTGTCCTTCATTGGCCATGTCCTTCTGTGTCCTGTAAGAAAGTTGAACTCATCAAAACCAGACTCAGCCCAATATCATGACAATAACTTGAACCACAAAAAGGATCCAGAAATTACAGGATTTGGAAAAAGATCAAAACCAACCCCAAACAAAAAACCAAAGCCAGCCACATCTGACAGGACTATCTTGTGCCACTTAACACCTGCAGAAGCTAATTGGTTGTGAGGGACCTCCCAGACTATGTCTGTATGACCACAGCAGGGACTTGCAAATTAAATCAAACACCTCCTGTAGAACACCAGGTGATTTCAGAACACCTGCAGGAATAAATTTTCCAAAGTGCTAGTACATCGGAAAAACATCTGATGAGCTGCTCACTTGTGCCAGACAGTGTTTAGTTCCGACACATTTATGTTTTACTGTCCAAAGGTTAAACTGCATTTGAGTGAGGGTTCTCTAGGATGAAGAACAATAGCATGCCCTTTAGCCATTAAAGAAACAAAATTTCCAGAACCCAATATTACTGTTAGTTGGGCACATTTTTAAATGGTTACAGTTTTTCCCACTTCCTTCCTTCCTTTCCTTCTACTTCAGTTAGGGTCCATGAGCTTTTAATTGCACAAGAGACTGAGTTAGCAGTGCATTATTTTTCATCAGTTGATTTTTTTCTAGCTTCAGAATTCTGAACCAAATTATACTTCTGTCACCAACTCATTTCTGGTTTATAAAACTTTCACAGTGTGGAGTCTCCAATAATCCAACATACATTGCCTACAGATCAACAATGCACCTTGTTACCTCAGGGATATTGGTTGTGTTTATTGTTGGCTGAATTTCAGAGCACCAGATGAAGAAATCAAGGCTTATTTCCCTTGAGTTTGGATTTGCATGATTAGTTATCTGTATGTTATGCTGAAAATGGACATCAACTATCAAGAGAGATTTGCTTTCAAACAATTCTCTCTTTGCTTCCCTGCCTCTGAAGCACCCTTCCCTGCAGGCAGCATCATGTTTTAACAAACTTGTTACTTCTGGTAGCACAGTAGACACAGATGTCTTTGTGCAGGTACTGGTGGTAGTAACGGACAATCATTTTATGTATTGGTAC